ATACACTTCTCACACTAAATGCTTGGGCCTTCCATAAAGAAGCATCATATTTATGAAACTTACATTCATCATTTTTTTTTTTTGTACAAGTAAATAGTCCGCTCATGTCTGTCTCATTAAAAACAAAAATAAATGGATAAAGAAATCTACAGCTCGTGATCCTCACGACTGACAGCTCAGCAACTCCTCTTCTGAAAACTGGCAGAAGACTGAACCATTTTTCTGTCTGTGCTTCAAGGGGAATGTTTTCTCTTCTTTCTTTTTCACTCATTTTTCACAAATTTTTCAGGCCTTTGAGATTCAAGGTCACATTCTTTTGCTATTTATGACTCGACATGGCATGTTCATCTATTTTAGTCTCCACACCTCAAACAAATCTGTAATCACAGAGACAAATAAATGTAATAAGTAAATCAGTAGTGTAACACATTGTTCAATCACTTTTACTATCTTCCTACCAGTGTTTTACTCTTTCATTCACTGAGCCCTGGGCTATTTTTCCTTTACTGGCTCTGTTGGAACTTGTCGACTGAAGCTATGAGTCAGACAAAGCTAATACATAAACTCTGCAGGCACATGTAAGACCCTGGCACTGCAAAGCATATTCCCTCAGCACCTGGACTTCATGCACTGCAATCTGGTGAAGGGGATTTATTAATCTGAAGCATTTCTTCTGATGATGGTACAAGGAGTGGTTGGGATTATTTTTGCACAAATGATCTAAGAGGTAAATAAAAACTTTTGGAAATGTCTGAAATTACTAAACTCATAGTTGTAAAGCGTTTGGAAATGAAGTGGGATTACAGGGTTTCTGGTTGTTGCAAATTCACCTGTGCATGTGGTGAGATTCAAACACCTGGCTCCTACTTTAAAATGGTAATATAAACCATAGCTGTGGAATAGTCATAACTAACTCTAAAAACGATGATACCAGAAGTAGCCTGTAATTACAGTGCAATAGTTTGCATATTCTTATCTGTTCACATGTAGTGTCCGACAGTTTTTAACTCTGAGGTCTTGATAAGTCAGGATAAACTTAATTGATCACACAAGAAAGTACAAGAATAGATGCATAATCAATTAATTAAAGTCACAAGATCTTAAAAAAAGATAATGTGCATCACGATCATTTAAAACATGAAAAAAAAGCTACATGTGTATTTACACACATATTGTGCAATAACAATAGTGAGGAGACAGGGCTGTTACATACAATACATGATTAAATACAACAACTGCACTTGGACGAGTTGTACTTGTTCTTAAGGGAATTGGGGGGTGGGTGAGGTGTCTCACTGTGCAGACAGCATAGTTAGCACCATGAAATACGGTTACTGCACTTGCACTAAAGTAGCAAAAATAAAAATCATATATGTAAATAATAATGTAAACAGGGACCAATAGCTACTGTCTACTCATTGTAGATTAGATGTTTGCTGCCTGACATGGTTGAGAAACGTGTGTTAATTATGAATTTAAGAGTTTCAGGCGATGAATCTGTGTTGTGTTACTGTGGGCTCTACCTGTCACTATATCCATCTATACGATATATTTCTTGCGTGCGGGCTGGATGGGTGTTTTGGGGCTGGTAAGGTTTGTGGGTAATATTGCAGATGCCTATATTTTGCGTTATGACCATGCATCTTTGAGTGTCCGGGGTTTGAGAAAGTTGCTTATGCCCCAGGGTCAAAAAATGTAATTAAACTCATACACTGTAGATAATTAGGTTATATTTAAATAGCAGTTTGAAAAAAACAGCAGCCAACCCATCCGCCCACCCCAGCCTCCTCCTAATGTGGACTTTTCCGCTCTCAACCGCTCTCAACTTCACCTGACTGCCTCCCTTGGTTTGTTTTTACAAGACAGTGTCTTTTGTGAACAACAGCTACTGCGGTCACAAGGAACCATTATGGGATATTCCCTAAATGCTAAAATGCAATGTAACAGTAACACAAGTGGAGGAGAGTCAAAATGTGACAGTTTTCTAACACTGGAAAAAAGATAATTTACCATATGACTACGGTCATATCAGAGCAAATAAGGGTGTAGAAGCAAAACCCCAGAGTAGATTGAACTAACAGACATTGCCTTTTGTTGCTTATGAATTTAAGAGGAGGTGTGTCGACATGTAATCAGCACATTACTTTAGCGTGGTGTTTTAAATAGTACATTTTACAACTGTGAGTGTTTTAAACTCACGTATTGCTTAAGGACTTTTTGTAGTTAAAGGCAGCTTGTTTTAGCGTGGAATTTCTATCATATTCTCAATGAATGTGCCTACCGACTGAATCCTCTTAGCAGCTGTGGTCTTTCTGTTTCAGCAGAAAAACAATGATGTGATGTGATGTTTTTTTTTGTTTTTTTTTTAAAGCTGCCATATGTAGAATTTGGAAACCTGACACCCCCTAGTGGTAATATGATAAATGATGCTCTAGTAGACAGCTGTGCACACTCCCACCCCCCAACCATCCACACAAACAAAATTATACGATATCACAGTAACTGTAAAAATGCTATAATCACATAGATATATTACAGATAGTGGCTTTAAAAGAAAAAAAAGGAGCTAATAACCCACTTGTAAGAAGTTTGCCCAAATCATCTCATTTCAGAAATATGGGCGTTTTTTCAGATTATCAAACAAAATCGTCTGTCGGCTTTTACTCAGACTGAGTCTATACCTGCCACTGCCTTCAGGAACAAATGATCAGTTCTTTATGGCAGCTGGACAAAGATTTGACATCATTTCCTGCAGCTATGACTGAGACCACAGATGTGTTTCGGTCGGGCTTCTGTAGTGATGTGCCTCTCTATTCTGGGTCTATTTTGTTAAAAGGAAAGCCACATTTATCAAGTGAACAATGAGCTCCTGTATGCCCTTTCTATTCAGCTTTAGGTGAAGCTTTCAAATCAAAGGCATATTGGATTTCCACAGGAGACAAGGCCACAAAGGCAAGAAAGACGACCACAGAAAAATATGACTTGCTCAAAAGAACTATGCTTAGATACTGCCTTGGGGTATAATAACGTTCTTGTCCAATGTAATGAAAATCTACTTTTTTCACAGTCCTTCATATTTCACACGGTATAACAGTCTTTAACTCAAGTCTTTATGTGTATGCTGTTTTTCTGCCACAGATAACATTGGATGGACAATCTGACTACAGCCAAGACTGTCCGTAGTAGTGGAGGAAGTAGCAAAGGTAAGATGTCAAGGGTGTGGGTGTGTAACTGTGACTGTTCTTGAATGAACACTGGAAAAAAAGTAATGCATTTTTTTTTTTTTTTTTTTTGTATTTTGGACATGCATGATTTAAACAACCTTTATGGTGGTTGTTAGCTGTCAAACGTTATGCTGTATCAGTAGTGTATGCCATTAACTTGATGACAGCATTTCAAGGGTTGGATCACCTAAATTCCATGAAAAAATAAAAAATAAATAAAATCTAACACAGGTTTTGAGATATCTGTCTCTGACATTTCTGTTGTCATCCCACTACAATGGGAGTGAATGGAATAATCAAGAACATGTCTCTGGTAGAAAGTAGTGTCAATAGAAAACAGTATAAGAACATAATCTTTTTTCCAGAGGTCACATAATCAGCGGTGACTACTCCACTGACTAGAGCAGCTCTAAATCTCCTCTTTATAATATTATCTACAGAGACGCAACAATTCCACCAAGAGAAAGCACTTGGTGACAGTGGCGAGGAAAAACTTCCTTTGACGAGGCAGAAACCTCGAGCAGAACCAAAATCAGGGTGGGCGGCCATCTTCCTCGACCGGTTGGGTTGGGAGGGGAGAGATAGAGAGAGAGAGAAAGAGAGAGAGAAGGGGAGGAAAAGACCACCATGCGATGATAGTAATATTAATAATAGTGATAGCAGCGACGGTAACAGCAGTAATATAAATATGTTAATGATAACTGTATTGTTCCTACTGATATAAGTGATATGGAAAGCTAATAACAGTAATTATGGTAAATTTAGCAGCAGGTGTTGAACAGGATCACGCATAACCAACGTGAGATTTATCACGCAGCTCTACAGCTTCTTCCAGCTCTGTGTTGCTCTGTGTCTGCTTTTTGTTTGGCTCACATTAGCCATATCAACTTTCTACAATTTATAATACTATATGTCACAACTGTGTTTACAGCTTGTTCTGCTGCTCCCAAATGGCCAAAGGACAAACACAAAAAAAAACATTGTGTAGCAGTTTTAAACTATGTTGCAGTAGACAAAGAATTCAAATGATATACTATTGTCGTTGTCTGCCACTAGAAGGAGCTGGAGTTCCTTTGAGCTCTCAGATGGCAGCTTATCATTTTTATGTGACAGGAAAGATCATTAACCTGGGCAGCTCCAGCAATGCCAACTATGATTTCTGTGCATGTCATAACTCAGTTTCATCTAAGAGTGGGGGGGGGGTTTCAAGGAAAAGAGTAATAGAGCATGTTCAGGCACAGTGCCAGGCAAGCAGAGGCTCACCTCAGGAATGCTTTTTTAATAACAAAAAAAGTTGAAATGCGTGTTGACGTTATAGGTCAAACATTAACTTTGACAGCACTGTCTTGCAGTTAGAACAGAATTATAGGCAATTAGATATTAACCATCCTTGGCCCCAGCGGGCAGTGTCAGCAGAGTATTTGATGAGGGCCTTGATAGGATCTTGCTTTCAAAGATGAGATGAAAAACACAAAGATCATTTTCTCCTTCATTTTTTTTTTCCCTCTAGGTGATCCTTCTCTGAGTGAAGGTGGGTCAGGTGGAAGAGCTGCATCAGGAGGCTCCGGTGGCACAAGCAGCTCAGTTGTGATCACATCCAGCAGCTCTCACGCCACCAGCCCCGGTAGATCCAGAGCGAACAAGGGCGCCAGAGGCGTCAGCATCACTGGTGTAGGAGCATCCTCAGCTGTATGCTCAGGTGGAGGGGGTTCAGCAGCATCTGGGGCCTCTGGTACAAGTGCAGGGTTTAGGGCCGCTGGAGGGGGGTCCTCCAGCATGTCGTCCAGTTTTGCGAGTGGTGGCAGAGAGGGAAAAAGGGAGGGGGGTCTAGGTGCTGTGACAGTTTCTACAGTGACCAAGACCAGCTACAGTTCAGGTGGATCGGGGGAAACAAAGAGAGGATCGTCCTCTGTGATCACCTATTCACCTCTTCCAAGAGAAAGGAAGAGCATGACCACCATGGCAGCAGCTCTCTCAGATGTCTTTGATGGTAAGTTACTGGCCAGAGCTGTCTCATCTTTTCCACAGAGTTTGTAGTCTGCGGTGCCAGCAGCACTGTGTTAGAAGGTTTGGAAAGGAGACGATAAACTGAAGGCTAATATGAGCTTTGTTGTGTCACCATGTTTCAGAAAGTTCAAGCACAAACTCTTCACCAGAGTACAACAGGAAGGAGTATGGTAAGTGCTACACTGAAAAAAATGATTTTTTTTAATCTTGTAATTATTAGTATTTCTTTAAATTCTACAATAAATTATTATTTAAGTGCTTTTACTTTAAAATGTCACCTTCTATTTAATCTGTCCCTTGGTCTTTGCTTGTAATTATGTATCCTCATTTCCATACGTAAATTTGATCATTCACACCAAGTAATATTAACTAAACTTGTGCATTGACTGAACAACCTGACACAATAAAGTAAAATTTACTTGGGTGATGGGAGTAAACCTGGCAACCTTGTGCGCACTCAACGAGTGACGTCAGAGGAGAGTTGGCACTTTTTCCTTTCGGAGTCACACCTAAACAACAGGACCTGGCCCGCGACGACAGATTTAATAGATAATAGCATAAATGTTTCCATGCAAGTTTCTCAAAAACTTCATTGAGTTTAACCATTTGAAAGTGTTTTAGTCAGACTAAGTCTTTCAATTAGACTTTTTAAGAAATCTTTGACAATACTGTGGGCAGAACTGACTTATGAATGTACACAAATGTATTCATTTAAAATGTTTTTATGCCAACCAGACTGTATATGTTGCACTGTAAGCAACTATCTCTTGCACCAGTGTTAAATAAAGGCGCTGTTGTTAAAAAAACAACTGCTATTTCATGTTTTTTAGAAGCCCTATAGTAAGACAGCCTTACTGACTAAAATGTAGCCCATGTTATAAATGCAAAAAATCAGTTTTATAATAGTGCTGTAGGGTAGTGGTAGATAGATAAAATATTATGTAAATATTACTTTCTTTTAAAAGTATTTAAATTTCTGGATATTAAAAAAAGAAATGCTAATTAAATAACCCTGAAATAACAAGCATTTTTATAGGGGTTTTGTAATTGGATGCCAAGGTAGTCTGAGTGAAATTTACTTACAAAGCAGTAAATTTTGTGTCTAAAGACGAAAACTGCCAGTAAAATCTACTTGGGTATTCTTGGTTTAACAAATCATACTAGTAAGTAAACTTTACTTGAGCATTTCCTGAGGAAAAATTACAAAGAATTTCTGTGTGGAAATTTTTACCGAGCCTTTTTTTAAGTAAATGCCACAGCAAATTTTTCTCAGCGTTCTTGAATATCAGATTATACTCTGGACTGTGTAAATGATTTGAACTGTATTTGTATCATGAATGAATTTATGATGTGTTTTTTACTGTGTTTTCTTGTAGGCACATCAAGTGCAATCTCAAGTTCTGCCACCAGAGGGAGAACTCATAGCAGAGGTACACTTAAAGGGATAGTGCATAAACAATTTCAAAAATATAATTACAAGTTTTATCTTTACTTTGGAGGTTGCTATCATAAGATAATCAACTTACCATGTCTTTTTTCAGAGAGTGAGATCAGAGCCAGACTTCAGAGTGCTTCTCCTACAGCGAGTTGTGAGTAGAACTATGTATCCATCACTATCACGTCCATGTACACAGCCTGTGATCATGAAATATAGCCAGTCCAACCTTGAGGTAAAAGGGAACTACAGAAAGACCAGAGTGGTCACTGTCCCCTCTGCTGTACAGGGACGGAGCTGGATGATGTGAAGCGTCTGCTGAGAGGAAACTCCACCAGCACCAGCCCCACTCAGTCCCCCAACAACACGCTGCCCATCCCCAAGAAGGCCAGTGTGGAAACCAGAAGCATGTCTGAGAGCTCCACCGCAGGTTCAACCAATCAGCTGTCATTTCTGTCATGTTAAAGGATGGTATTTAAATTGTGGTCTAGAAGGCTGTGATAGTCTAACCTGACTGGAGGGTTGCTGTGAGAATCAGTGAAAAGGATCAATGAGAAGTTCTCTCGTCTTCTTCGACTCCATTGACTTTGCTCCTGAGAGGCTGTTCCTTCAGTGGTCAACAGGAAATAGAATGGTACTAAAGAAAAAGACCTGTTAGGGCCAGACATCATTGCGAGTCTGAGTTTTAGTTCACAATTTCTGATCAGGAGAGTGGTTTATGTTCCCAGATACTGATTTTTTTTCTACACCACAGCAGCAGTAACAATCTATGTCCTTTACATTAATCACAACATGCAGGGCTAATTGTATGATTTTTATGTTGTGTTTATTTCTGGCTGCTCACTTCATTTTCAGATGATGGACAGATTTTTTTATTTTATTTATTTATTTATTTATGCATTTCACTTGTGCTTGGTTTTGAATTTTTTCTGTATCTGTCTACCATTTTTGTTTTATCTCTTTCAGACCACTATGGCAGTGTCTGGTCTGGAGGTGTGAGCAGTAGCTACAGTTACAATACCAACCCCAACAACCTGTCCACAACCTCCACCACCAACCACCTTTACCAGTCTAGATATGCGTGACAATCAGCAATACCAGCAGTAAATGATTTTTGTCTATGTCTCCTGAGGAATTAATTGTAAATAATTGCAGATTATAGTTAATTAATGTATTACACTATTGTCTGTAACCAGTTGATTGTTGCAGGGTCAGACATCTTGGTAAAGGAACACTGTGTTTCTGTGTTTCTATCAAACTAAACAAGATCTAAAGGTCTTGTTTATTTTGGTAAAAAAAAAAAAATCTCATTGAGGCTAAATGTTGAATAAAAAAAATCCACATCATATACTCCAAATACAGTATGTATGTTCCTGCTGGATATATATGGATATATTTAGAGATGCATGAAACATCTGAGATATCCAATAATTAAGGCATCAAATGTGGTTTCGAAACGGTGTGAAAAAGTATCTTTACTCAATACAAGTTCTTGAGTTTCTTGTGATAGATGGACAAATAAGACTGTGCTGTGTTCTGTCAGGTCCGGGTGTTCAGAACAACCTGACACTCAGCTCTCCCTCTATGAACAGCGGACTATCCGTCAGCAGCACAGGTGAGCCTCAGCTCGTCATGTCACAGCCCACAGGGGTTTCAGGTCCGGTACTGACAGTAGATATAACCATGTTGTTTTTTTTTTCCCCTCTGCCTCAGTTCCAGTGTATGGTGTTCAGAATAATCTGGTCAGTACCAGCCCCACCGTCCTCTCTCCCGCTGGAACCAACACACAAATAGGTAAAGCAGCGATATACAGCAAATGTGAAGGACAACAAAAAAAAGTTTGGTAGTTATTACACTTATGAGCTTTTGAGTGTTGTTGATATTAAACTTTTATTAAACTATTAAATTGTCATTCTGTAAGATGAGAATCATGAAGCTGTGTTTTTGTCTCCTCACAGTTTATGGTGTGCAAAAAAATGTATCTGGCACCGGACTAAGCACAACCACAGGTGAAATAGGACATGAGCAAATCGGGGCAAGTGAAAATGTCTTTGTTTTTTTTTACCAAGAAAAGGTGATATTTGATACGACATGATGTTTTGTTTGTCACAGTGAGACCCAGCATCTCCAGTAATGGCGAAGCCTCAGGCAAAGACTTTAAGTTTGTGCTGATAGAGAAGGAGAATACGCCAGTGAAGGAGACAGAGAGACTGATCACCACCAAAGACACAGGGAAGCTCTTCATGTCTGCTGCACCCGCTAGTACGTCAGGTAATACTAAATACTACTAAGTACTACTGCTACAGCACTGCTAACACTGCTATAGGTTCTACTGCTACTATTCTTACTGCCACTTTAATATTAGGAAAGAGGTTTTCTTGTTAACTGCTTCTGTGTTTGATTACTGATAACTGAATTGTTCTGTCTTGTAGTGACGTACTCTGAGGACTCACTGAAGAGAGAGAAACGGAAGCTATCAACCAGCACAGTGGAGGAAGGAACAGATGCTAAATGTAGACTTATAGTCACCAAATTGTGTTGAGAGCCATCACACTATTCTTGTTTGGCATGTAATTAATTGTTGTTTTTTTTTTTTTTTTTTTAAAGCTTCAACCCTGAAAGTTGCCACTAAAGACAAAGCCACATATGCAGGTACCATTTGCATTGCCCCATTTTTACTTTTAGTCTTTTTTAAAGTTTTTGCATAGATTAGATTTAGAAACAAACAAGATATAAGATTTTAATTAGTGATCATTAGAGATGGTAGTACGTTGATTTTGTTTTACCACAGCAAGGCTTGCTGTTTCCCCCTTTTTCCAGTCTTTATAGTAAGATAGGCTGACCTGCTCTTGGCTATAGCTTCATATTTAATGCACAGGCATGAGAATGGTATCAGACGCCTCATTTAGCAAATAAGCACATTTTCCAATGTCTAAACTAATGTCAGAATGCCTTCTCTTTAAGAAAAATGTAAGAACAATAAAAACTCGAGACGATAAGAGACTTAATGAAAAATCTCAGAAATATCTTGATGAATACAAATTCTAAATTTAAGGCGAGTAAGTACATCATACATTACTGATATGTTTTGTGAATCTGCTGTTGTTATGCATCCAGACCATTTTTCTTCTTGAAAGAAAAAAAGAAAAACTTAATCTTGCATCTGAACTTTTCTTGTTTCTCAGAGATCCAGAAAGATGAGTCAGGCTTTAGCTTCTGGTCCTGCTGTAGCTGGTGGAAGTGGCTGCTGGGCCTCCTGCTCAGCCTGCTCCTCCTCCTTGGACTGCTCTTTGGACTCATTGCTTTGGGTAAGACAGCAAGTAATTAAGTGATGTCAGTGAAGGTGACGTCTACGTGTTCACCTTCTCTCTTGTTTCACAGGTGAAGAACTGAAACACCTCAAGAACCGTGTGGAAGCTTTAGAAGCCATCGCTGGCACCGCCTCAGCCAGGTCCAGTCGCTTGTCAGGCTCCTCTGGCATCAACATCATCGACCCGCTGGATTCGGCGTACATCGGCAGGAGTTCCTCAGGGTCCACCCTGACCCGTTCTGATAACACCATCAACTTGGGGGCTGCTGGGCCGGGAGGAGTCGCAGGGAGCGGACCAGGACTGGACAGCGCTGCCCTGCAGAGAACCATTCAGCAGCTGATCAGAGCTGAACTCCGCTCAGATGCTGTAAGAGGTACAGACTGAACACAGGGATCAGATATTTAAGACCACAAATCAACCCAACCCTCCGTGAAACAAACTTGAATGTAATTATAACTTTTTTTCTACTTTCAGAAACACTTGCATACTCTCTAAAAGGAGAGAGAGGAGAGCCAGGACCTAAAGGTACATTTGCACAAATCACAGAATGATTTGGAAATTGACATTTTGTTGATATCCATCATAAGTCGGGCTGTTTCTTTACAGGCGATCCAGGGTCACTAGGACAAAAAGGTGAGATATTAATCATAATTTCAGGAACATCAAACCTCAGGAGTGTGTGATGTAAGAATTGATCAATCTATAAACTGGAACCAGCCACTAAAAAGGATGTTTTGCAGGTGACAGCGGCTTCCCTGGCCCGCCAGGTGAGACTGAGAAATCTGCAATCGTGTTGATGCTTTCCCCTTCCCACAGAAGTGACTAACTCACTGCCTGTTCCTTCTCCTCTCATATGTCTTATTTCTGCAGGTCCCCCTGGGCAGATGGGTCACCCAGGATTGGATGGATTAAGGGGACCAAAGGGAAGTGCAGGTGATGTGTGTTTCATTGCTCTTTCAGGTTGAGTGGAGATACTTAGAAAGAAAAAATGGACTAAGTCTCTCCTCCTTTGTGACCAGGTGAACCAGGTACCGAGGGACCACCCGGTCAGAGGGGCCGGGAGGGACCGATGGGTCCCCGTGGAGAGACTGGACCACATGGTTTTGGAGAGAAAGGAGACAAAGGTAGAAAATGTTTTTGTCACCCAAGTTACATCCGTGGGAAGTTATTTGTTGTTCAGCCTTTGATAATAAAACTTGGCTTTGACAGGATCTCAAGGTGAGCCAGGACGTCCCGGTCCTGCCGGTGCTACTGGACCTGTGGGGCTGAAAGGTAAGGTCAAAGGTCATGATGGAGATACAGGTCGGAGCAGATCAAGCTTTAAGGACCACACACACATCACTTTAACTTTAAATAATGAACATGATAAACTGGCTGCAATATGGATTAACAGATTCCATGAATACCAAAAATAAACGGCCTCTAAATTTTCCTTGTTTGATTTAGGTGCCATGGGAGAGCACGGTGCCTCAGGAAGCCCTGGTAAATACTGAACTCCACATGAATTTTAATATTTTGTCTGTGTTTGGCACTGATTGACAGCATTAAATGTGTTTATCATTTGTCTGCAGGTGCTCCTGGTGTAAAAGGTTTCCAGGGTGAAGCAGGAGCTCCAGGAGCAAAAGGTACCTTTATCGTGTTTTCATTTTAATGATCCTCATATAAACTAGAATAAGCAGTCTTCTAAAATTGTCAAAATATAAAACATAAACAGTGTGGTAAGAGTAAATGAAAATGTGTAAGAAAGAGACCAAAACACTGATTGATTATTTAACTTTTGTAATGATAGAAGAAGAAGAACGATGGCCTTTATCAGTTTAGGTTTAATAGCCCTCTTGGCACTCCTGATTGTCCTAAATACAGGTGACCGAGGAACCCCTGGACTGCCAGGAATCAAAGGAGAACAGGGAGAGAGGGGACCACGTGGACCAACAGGTGTGTCTCAGCATGGTTTTATCAGTCCTGCACAGCAGGAATAATAAAAACACAGCTGCTATCACAGCAGCCACTCAATATAAAAGTGGTAAAGATAAAGTCTCTAAACTTCTTTTCCAAATGGTCTGTTCAAATAACACAGAACTCGAACACCATGTACTTAAACTTAATGCTGCTCATTGACCCCTGAACACACACAAGTTTTGAAAGCTGCAAGACAAATATTGTTTTAAATGATCATTGTTATGTTAATATATTTAAATCTTTTTAAAGCCTGTAAGTTTGTAAGCCATGTTAACTTTTACATGATGCTATTAGTGTCAATAAAATATACACTACAAACTAGTAGTTAGCTGCTCACTATCATAAAGACTACAGAGAAAAAACTGCACATTCATTCATTTAATCAAAATGTAAGTTGCAAACCCTCAACAATGTTTAGGTTTGGAAAAAGGTTTGGGTTTGGGTATTTGATGTATCCTGTTTTTTTGATTAAAGGTGAACAAGGACAACCTGGACCACAAGGCCCTGCTGGACCCAAGGGATCTAAAGGAATTTCAGGTGAGGAGAGATCTTCACAGTATTAGTAAGACGAAATTCTGCTAATAAGATGTCAAAATCTGAGGAGGAATAAACTGTGCCACTCTGTATCACCACTCAACTGCCTTTATTCTCATGGTGCCCTAAGAGGAACATGCTTGGATAACTCATGACAAGGTTATTTTAGATAGAAATGTATTCTGTGACCAAACCACAAGACAGATGAATTTGTCAGTAATAAGGGCAAATCAGTGACATCAAATTACTTGGCGAAGAAAGCTTCAGAGAGGAAAACACAGAGGAACAAAACATGTGACTGTCTATTTACTGTCTATTTTTTTTATGGATCACACATTATGACATTTTTCTGCAGGTGCCAGAGAAAGATAACAGAACATGTATCACTGTTGTTGTTGCATCCTGTGGACTAGAGTCTCTGTGTATAAATTGCAGGTGACACAGGTTCGATGGGACTTCCTGGTGTGAGAGGACCACCTGGACTTCCTGGAGATCTTGGTCCTCCAGGTACCATAACACTGTCCAATTATAGCAGCATTCATAATCAATCATAATGTAATAAATTATGTTTATCAAATATTGCCTGAATAATTTCAGGTATCTTATTTTTTATAGATTGCACTAAAATGAAAACAATGTTGTTTTTTTTTTCAAGGCACCCCTGGGCTTCAAGGACCCCAAGGTATAAAAACATATACTAAAATAAAAAAATTTACTTGGTTTACAGAATATGTATATAGTTTTCTAATCCCTTGCCAAGGATACTGCTGGAAATCCAGTCTGGTGGTAAATGTATTGCCTCCTTTCCTTACTCCTGAAAGTAAAAAAAAAAATCACATACCACATACTGCCATGGAAGGTTCTGGACACAAAAACAAAAAATTGCCAATAAAAAGAAATCATAGCCTCAGTACATTTATCTCCATTACCACTTAATTTGCCATCTAAGGTTTTAGACTTCAAATAGATTCCCAAAGGGCTGGACGAGTCAATAACTCAGTTAGCACACCTGAGGTGAAGTTTGTTAGGGTTCAACATCTGTACAAATACTACATTATATGCATTATATAAGAATATGCTTATGCCTAATCACAGCTAAGACATTTGTCCTTTGTTTTCTTGGACAGTAGAATGCTAATTTAAAAAGCAGCTATTGCTTTTTTTAGGGTTCAGCTGCTATGTGTTGATATGAGGGGCTCCAGTGGGCTGTCTTTGCATTTTTTGAAAACATTTTTGTTATTTTGTTATCTGGAACATGTGCAGTTGGTGCACTTGCTATGCGCACAGACTGCATGATCAAAATTCTGGGCTGAATGAATAGTGGTCCGTGTGAACCCTTGCACACCATCGTGGAAACATGGATGTGGATGGTATGGTGGCCTTAAGGCTGCTGTGGCACAATGTTTCTAAGGTCAACTGTCTATGAAAACAAACTAATTTTGCCTAGTTAGTTAGTGTGTTAACATTTGCTAATTAACACTAAACACAAACTACAGCTGAGGCTAATGGGAATGCCGCTAGCTTTGCAGGGTTTTGGTCATAAATCAAAGTATTGGACAAATTGAAATGGTGATCTGTTGATGGTGGCAGAGGAAATGTCAGATAATTGCCAAAGTTATAACAGTTCATCCTCTGAGGACAATGAATGTCCGCAACTGACTGACACTGCCATCACCACAGCCACTGCTGGAATGGCCAATAAAAAGCTTGAATAAACACTTTGCTTCTAAATGTGTGTATGTAACAGTTGAAGAACAATTTATTTGCTACGTTTCAGTGCTAGATGGCTAAACCTTCATCTGGCAAAACTGAAATGTTGCAAATAAATTGCTCATTGCATGTTTTTCTATTATTACTTCTGATCCACTCATCCTGCTCCTATGCATCTGCCTCACTACATATATGCTTATTATGTAAATGGAAGTAAATTTCTCTTGTAAGAAGTTACCCAAAACTAAAAATGTAATGTTTATATTTACTCTAATTAAGCCTTTATAGCATCAGGGTAATTATTTTAAACTAAAACTCTTGAATAAAGGACATACTAAAGATTTAATGCTGTTTGTTGTATGTCAAGCTTCATCATGCAATCTAATCTAAAGCTGTCCCTTTAGGTGAACCCGGTCTGCCTGGTAAAGTCATTGCTCCAAGTAAGAAGTTGGACATGAACATGCAAAGTGTACTTTGTATTAGTTTTTAAGTATTGTACACTCTAACTGGTCTTTATATCCTCCCTCTAGTTGGCTCTGACACTGTGGCCATCCCTGGACCTCCAGGGCCTGCTGGGCCTCCAGGCCCTGCTGGCTCCCCTGGTTTGTCTGGCCCCATTGGCCCTGCTGGTATCCCAGGACAACCTGGTAAGTCAACACTAAGCAGCTTAGATGGCTCAAAAACTGTTTTATGAACATGAGGCTTGTTGGTACATATTGAAGTTATTGTTTTTTCTGTGATGGTACATTGACTCAATCATTTAGGTCCTAAGGGAGCACGAGGGGAGATGGGAGAAAAAGGAGAAAGGGGAGAGAAGGGAGAGCAAGGAAAACCTGGTGAGCCTGGCATCAGTGTCACAAGTTCAGAAACTGTCCGTGCCTCCCAAACTGATAGTGAGTAGCTCTTTGTTTCTTTGATACTTACTTTGATGCCATCTGGTGGTATCAAGATACTGCTGTGTGATACAATAATAATATCATCTATGTTTTCATTTCTATCAGGATTTTCATCAGTAACAGGACTGCCTGGTCCACCAGGACCCCCAGGTCCTCCTGGAGCACCTGGTTCTCAGGGTCCTCCTGGTAAGTTGAAAGCCATTTGTTAGATACCAATGGTATTTCCAAATGACTGGGATAGGTTCTTAAATTCAACTAATGGTTATTCAAATACTGCTTTGACTGTTGTTTAGGTGAGACTAAACAAGGTCCTCCAGGACGCAGGGGTCCTCCAGGAGAGCCAGGTAAACAAGTATCTAGCATTACACAGATAGATAGATACATCATCAGCATACAGGATAATTTAAAGTGTAACTGTACCCTTAGATTCTGCTAGATATTTAAAAAATGCAACAGAGGAGTGAGGGAGCAACAGCAATGAGAGTAGGAGGCATTGCCTTGAAGCTGAATAGTGTGCGATGTGGGAGACTGACTGATCAGCACTCAGAACATGGACAAAGTCAGCTAACCGGCCATGAGAAGCTGCTGTTGGATTTGAAGAGTCACTATGTGGGTGCCTCTGTAGCTGAGCTAGTGGCAGTTGTCAATGTACCAAACAGACCTTGGAGTCTTTCCTTTATGTCATGGTTAGGGAGGGGCAAGAGGGTTAGAATAGAAAATATACACAACGTTTTTATACACAATGTGAATTATGTTGGAACAATTGTGTATACTATATGCCAACAATACAAAAAGTTAGATTTCCGTCTCTCATTTTAAACTGATCTGTGTCTGTGTTGCTATCCTCACAGGTGTTGGTTCACCTGGACCCCGAGGAGAGAAAGGAGAACCTGGCAGCTTTGTGCCTACATCAGGTTGGTGAAAGAAAACCAATTTCAGATGTAATGTAGGTTGACAACTGGACATACTGTATGTCATATTCAGCCTCTACTGTCTTTGCCAGGCATTTTGATGCATTTTCATTCTTTTACTCTAAAGAGACCTTCTTTGCTGGACCACCAGGACCTCCAGGACCCCCAGGCTCACGGGGTTCAGCAGGTAGGTTCAATAAATTCAGTGCTTCTGAAAACATCTGTCTGACTGTTCCAAAATTTACAAATTTAATTTCATCTTATCATTCTTTCTTCTTAGGTGACCGAGGACCACAAGGGTACCAAGGTGAGAAAATTGCAAAACACAATTTGAAACAACAGATATTTTTTTAAAAATAGATATAATCTATGACTTAGAATAATGATGATTGTTTCAGGTGAACCAGGCCAACCAGGTCTTCCAGGAAGTCCAGGGGAACCAGGTGTTGGTATGTGAACATCTTTTAGATTAGATGAACTTTAACATTATTTTATGAAGAAGAGCATCCACAAAGGTACTCCAGTCGTATGCCAATTACTATTTGTATGAGTTCATGAAGAGCTCATGTAGAAAATAACTGTGGGGGAAAGAACAAAAAGTTACTTACTAAAACTTTTCTTTCAGCCACATCTTGTGGTCTTCATTGGTCTTCAATTTTCCGTTGACAATAATGAACCTTCAAGCATAAGTGCTGAATAAGTGTTTTTATGTCAGGTTTCCCAGGTCAGCCTGGACCAAGGGGGCCTCAGGGACCAGAAGGCCCGAGTGGCCCTCAAGGTCTACCAGGCCCTCAGGGGCCAAAAGGACATAAAGGTAAAAATATTTTTTTCAAGTTATATTTAGCCACAGTGAATGGTTATATACAAAAACTTTTTGTTCATTTTGTCTGTCTTTCCCCTGCTTTCTTGAGTATCATACTATTTAAATATTCCTTGTAGGTGATGCCGGAGTCCTCGGGGCCAGTGGTAAGACGGCCTGAATACAATATCACATCAAATCAATTATCAAGATAGTGTCTTAATAATGATCTTCACGAATCCTGTGCTTTTAGCAGGCCTAGTGTGTTGTGAGTTAGCCACTATAACTGACAAATATGCAGTAGCACTCAGTGAGAGCTGGAGGGACTCAAGAATATTGAGCAACAAAAACCCAACTGAAAAATACCAAAACTGGAATGTTGATTCTCAGTGGGACCAGCAGTACCGCCCTATACACTTTCACAAACAACTATCATACAGAATGATTTAAAGTGTAATTGCACCTTACAACAACAGCAGGAGGCGTGGCCTTGTAGACATATATATAGTCTGTGATGTGGAAGGTGGGACCAGTAGTACTACCCTATACCCTTTCACATTATAGGAAGAAGTCATTTGAACGAGGCTTAATGTCAATAATATTGCCTAGTGGAGATTTAATATAATCTTAAAGGGGAACTCCACTCCAAGTTATTTTTTCAGGCTTTTGCCTTTATAACAGTTATAGTGTAGTGAGAATAGTGAGAAATTGAGAGGGAGAGAGAAAGAGATAGAGAGAGAGAGAGAGAGAGAGAGAAATAAGATGACACACAGCAAAGGGCCACAGGATGGACTTGAACCCTGGCTACTGTGGCAAAAAATAAATCTTAAGCACATGTTTTACCAGGTGAGCTACCAGGACACACATGTAGTTAGTGTATATACTGTATCTCTCTTTGTCTCTCACACTGCACACGGCCTCCGTCTGGGATCCAATAGTTTAGCTTTTATTTACATTCAGTTTGTTCTCCAGAAGAGCACAGCACCTAGTGGCTATTATAAGAACTGCAGCTTAAAGAACTTCTGCATTGGTTTCACCTCTTAGCAAGGGCTGTTGCTGCTTGGTCAAATTGTAATAGCTAATAATATATCAGTAATGATACAAGTCAATACAAGTCAATACTAGCCATTCAATCTTAAAAAAAAAAAATCTTATTCAAGGGTTGTCCAGTCTTTCCTACATGGGAATTTGTTTTATCATACCAGGTAGCTCATTCACTCCTGGCCCTCCAGGCCCACCTGGACCACCTGGAAGAGATGGAAGTTTGGCTGGATCACTAGATGTGGGCCAGTACATTGCAGAGTACCTTCAGAGTAAGCTGTCCTAATACTACATATGGACGAAACAAAGACCTAAGTCAAGTGACCTGTTTGAGACAGTATTTTCTTGACACGCAGGTGGTGCCATCAGTGGATATCTGGCTGGGCCTCCTGGGCCTCCTGGGCCTCCAGGAGCCCCAGGGACTTCAGGAGACGGGCTGGTGGATGATGTGGCCAACAGAGTCATTGCCTACCTCCAGAGTATGATCAATTACATTATAATAATACATCTAATTTTACACAGGATGTCTGTATGTAAAAATCAACAGTTTTATAACAGTAATGACAACCTCTGTGTAACTTTCACCTATTATTCAGCTTCAGGTAGAGGATATGATGGGGTTCCTGGCCCTCCTGGTCCTCCGGGTCCACCTGGTTCCATCTCTGTCAGTGACATCATCAACCTATTACAGCGTAAGTTTCATTTGTGATCAGTGGCAGAAGCTCAATATATAAATTGCGCAAAACATTTACATATAATTCACATGAGTGAATAATTTATTCATCGTTTGTGCAAAGGATCGCATTGTTGCCAGCAGTCTTTGTATGTGAATTGTCAAAATTTGAACCAGCTAATTACGCAAGTTAGGAACATCAAGTCAACTTGTAAAAGAAAATTTGAACAGATGGTCAATTAGTAGACATTAGTTATATACCATATAGTGGCTTATATGATGGGCATTGGACATCTTTGGCAGCCACTTAAAACGAGATAATTTACCTGATTTCCTCAAAATCTTCAAGTTTGTTTTTTGATATCCAGCTCTTGGGAGCAAATAATAAGATTGTCAATTATCTGTGTCCAGGAGAGGATGTGAGGAGATACGTTGCTGGTCCTCCTGGTCCAGCAGGACCTCCTGGAGATCTGAGCCTTGGCAGATTTGAAACCCAGGAGGTTGCTGAACGGATCCTCAGTTTCATGAATGGTTGGAGTTACAGAAGCACCTATGACGTTACCTATTAAAATGGTATTCTGGCAGGAGAACATGAATGTCACTGACTGTGGGTCTTGTCTGTCACCAGAGAGGGGGATGGTAGGTGTCCCTGGACCTCCTGGACCTCCTGGCCTTCCTGGAAATGTGTTATCAAGTAAGAGACACAATAACTACAGCAGTTAACCCCCCAGTAAAATTAGGTTTTTGAGCTCATAGTATTCATGCTAATGTAGAGTATCTGTTCTAGAATAATTAGATCTAGTAGCATTCTCATACTAACATACATTCAATTTCATTGTTTGTCTAGCTGGGTATCAAGCACTTGTGGGCCCTCACGGGCCTCCTGGTCCTCCAGGTGTCCCTGGTGCACAAGGAGCACCTGGGCCAGCAGGACCACCTGGCCCACCGGGACTTGGAAACTACATCAGCGCAGACATCCGTGACTACCTGCAAAGTGAGTTTAACTGAAAACTTTGACTTTATCAGTTTATGAAGAATTAATTAAAAATACATACACACCCATCCTCACCCATCTGTTCCATTGCTTCCCCAAAGGTGTCGCCTTCAGAGGCCCTCCAGGCCCCCCTGGTCCCCCTGGACCTACAGGCCCTGCCGGTCCAATCCGTGGAATTGTTTCCTATGCTGAGCATGCCAACAGAGAGTTGCTCAAGGCAGAGCAAGAATATGTCAGGAGTGAGTTTAATCTTTAAAAATACGCCGTCTCATTGTGGGAAGCTTTGGCTTTTATAAAGCTACTTTAGGTGTGGTTTGGTCTGTACCAGACTCAGTTTTCACATAACATTGACTTATTACACATGGTGTATCTGAAATATTTGTATCAGTCCCATGATTTTACCTATCTAAATATTTTGGGATTCCCACATCATAACGACACAGAATTGGTTTAGACTCTGGCTCTGAAGTATTTTCTATACAAAAAGCACTACACAGCACTACACAGAGTGACGTCATATTATGTTGTATTGTCTCCAGGTGATGGTGTGAGAGGAGCTATGTTTGGACTTCCTGGTCTACCAGGTCCTCCTGGACCCCCAGGACACAAGGGAGAACCAGGTGTGCCTGGTGCCAGAGACTGGAACGTGGATACTGGTGACTACTCCAGCATGGCTGTCAAAGTAACTGATTACATCAAATGTAAGTGGCAGTTAGTCGAGAACCACGTTACAAATGACAAAATTCACGGACTGGAGTTTGAATCTGTCAATACTTGCTATGTTCTATGTGTTGCATTTTATTTTGGTTTGTGCTCTATCCATGTCTTTTTATTTAACCTTCATTTAACCAGGAAGCCTCCTGAGACATATTATCTCTTTTACAAGACTTTGCCAAAATGGCAGCATAAGATAGGTGTCATATGAGAACATACATCATTATTTTACAACAATCACATTGCAAATAACAAAACTGGAGAGAGATGTAACTTGGCTATTTAAAACAATTATGTTCCTCATGAAACATGTTTTTTTTTATCTGATGCTTGAATGTCTGCTATGAAGGTAGCATTCCCAGACAATCCAAGTCCTGGGTTCATAATAAGAAAATGCAGTTTTACCAGGTTTTGAGCAGACTCTAAGGACGCCGAAGATAAGATTATCCATCTAGATGATCTGGTCTGACAGATATAAGACACAGTAGAAAGTATTTCACTAACGTGAACTGCAAGTTTACCTCATTTGCATTATATGATATTGGACTCTACTGTCCTCCATATGCAGCCCATGGTCTGCTCCGGGATGTTTTGAGAGACAGTGAACGTGTTGTTCAAGGACCCCCAGGACCTCCTGGACTTCCAGGAATGCCTGGACAAAGCCAGTGGATTAGTCCTCGTGAAAACGTCGTGGATGTGGTGGACTATCTCAAATGTAAGTCGATGTCAGCTTTATGATGACTGTGACTGTGCATCCATGACCAACAACTGGTGGAGTGCAGATAGTGCAGTGTCAGAAGTAAGAATCTGGTTGTCTTCAAAGCTTAGTGAGGACAGTCCTGACTTTTACTTACTCTACAACTACCGGTCTTTGCTCATGTTACAGTATAGCTCTCTTCCAGTCTGACAATTTATTATATTCTTGGTATTGAATGCAACCAGTGGCAGCAAAGCTTCACATGTATCATCCTGTTTTCTTACATTTGCAGCTCGTGGTGTGCTGCATGACATTGTGAGAGAGTACAACAGTCGCGTCTTCCAGGGACCTCCAGGACCGCCCGGCCCCCCAGGTCCCCCAGGATACAGCCGATGGTTTGGTTCACATGGAAATGCCACAGAACAGCTGGAATATGTCAGATGTGAGTGTACTATGATGATATAAATCACTAATCAAAATCTACAGTAAAACAGACAGGTTAGGGTACTTGTTAACCTTACCTCTTATTTTCTAGTGCAAGGTCTGCTTCGTGACATTGAGCGGACTCGCAATGAACGCGTCACCCAAGGACCACCCGGACCACCTGGCCCTCCAGGTCCGCCGGGATACAGCCGGTTGTTTGGTTCCCAAGCAAATGTTACTGATTTGGTGGAATACATCAAAAGTAAAGTAGCATTTAACAATTAAAAATCATTACAATGAAAAAACAATGAAGAAGCTAAAATGTGAGAATGAAAACATTTGTCCTCCACAGCACATGGAACCATTGTCGGACCACCTGGGAGACCAGGACAGAAAGGGGACATGGGATTCCCTGGTCTAAAAGGAGAGAAAGGTGCATCTCAAAATACTTTAAGAAAAGGACTTTGGAATGAAAAATTTTGCAGATTGTACTTTAAATAATTGTTTTCATACTGCTTACAGTACTTGACATTTAATGGTAATTACACATTTTTTTTTATTACACACAGGAACCTTTTTCTATTCTTCCAGAGTGCTATTAGTTTTCCCAGTTAAATCAGACCATGGCAGTTGAAACAGCTAAAAAAGAAGAAGTTCCATATGAAGAACTGTTATAAATAATTTTTGTGTCTTTCATGGCTTTTTCTAGTACCATTAGTCTGTAGTGACACTTTATAATGACTCTGTCCGGACACAGGTGAACGAGGCCTTCCTGGGCCTGAGGGACGCCGAGGACAAAAGGGTGACAGAGGTCAGTTATTGTTATTTCACGTTCAGTCCTGGGCAGTGGTCTTAAATGAATTAGCGCAATTTGAATGTTCATTCGTCACAGATTTTTCAGATTTTCAAAGCTTTATTTATCTCATCTGCTGTCAGAGCACAGGAACCAATAGAAAAACATTGAGTGATAATTTTAGATAAAAGGATATACTGTAAGTGATGGAGAAATCATCAAGATACTAGGTATGAAAATTTAGGTTAGGGGGGTGGGGGTGAGGAATAGTTAACGAAAGCTGTCACATTGAATCTCAAATGATAACCTTTTGAAATGTTACAACTGCTCTGTAAATTGACTATCAAAATAAACCATTTATTGAAAGAGAGGGCCCCTGCTGCAGGGTTTTGCCAATAATTTTGAATGTTTGATTTAATGTGCTAGAACAAGCAGGTGCTCATCAATTGGAAGCAGTTTGTGTAAAGCAACCTTTAAATCAAATCCTTTGTGTTTTTTTTTTTTTTTTTCACAGGAGAATTCACAGTGATGACTAAAAGAAGGAAGAGGAATGTTGGTGTCTGAGAACCAGGTCACTGAACTCAAAGAATTGTGTATACTGATGCACACGCTGGATGCCGTTCACCAATTTACCTGTTTTTCTAAAGGGATATGATTGTACTTTTATACTGATAAACATTTACTGTGCAGAGTTGTATTTGTGAAATCACAGATTATGTATTGAATTAGCTTGTCTGACACATGAGGGACCAGTATGGTGACATATTTTATTGTGTACTTTTTCTTACCTTTTCATCACATTGGGCCTTTTCTAGCCAGACCATGCTTTGTAACAAATATATATATGTATATGTATGGGGTCCATAGGTCTGAGACCACTTTCCCATTGAATAAAGATTTTTTTAATAGCTTTTCATCATCACCAAGATAACTGGTTGGGATCAAATCAAGGACTAAACACAACTGTAGCAGAGAGGAAACAGTTTATTTACAGCAAAATGAAAATCTACAGTACACAGGAATTCTAAAAACTATAAATCTGTTTTAAAAAATTGCCTAATTTTCATTTGATTTTGATATGGATCATGGTTTTGTTTTTTCAGACATTCAGAATTTAATCAGTTTAGACTTTCTATCTGACAAACAGAACAAGAATTGACAGGACTGATTTGCCTATTTTTGTACGCTGCAAACTTCCAGTGGGTAAGTAGAGAAGGTTAGCTATAGCACAGGCGCTGCAGTGTGGTTTTTCATATAAATAGCTATTGAGAATGTTTTGCAAATGGTGCACAGCACTCCTTCAGTATTTTTGTACATAACAGCTGTTATTAAATACATTTGATAACTTTAAAGCCAATCATAAAGAGAATGAGATGATAAAATGAACCAATCAGAGGTCAAGATGGCCTAAACCAGTCAGGTCCATTTTTGCATCGACTGCTTTAACATCATTCACAATCCTTAAGCCTAAATAAAAAAACCTTTGCTCAAAGCTCATGTTCTGTTTTCGTTTGTTTGAATACAGTTGAATGAAATCATTCTGAAATCGTTAAAATGCTTCATGAAACCAAGAGTTTGACCAAAATCTTTAAAAGGTGGTCACGACAGGTACACAGTACATCCATTTTTTAAGTATTAAGGCTATTAGCTAGCATATCAATGAAAAAGGTAATATCATTCAATATAAAGAAGAAACAAAAGCCATGCAGGCCTACCCATAATACACCTGGTAGCAAACCAAGCAGAAAACCAGAGCAAATACAAAGGACACCTCATCAACTATAACTGCAAGTTAGATTATTTTTTTTCTGCTTAGCTGAACTGAAAGCTGTTCATAGTGAGAATTTGCTGAGTCAGTTTCATGGCACTCAGGCCTTGGAAACTCTTAAAAATGCTATAAATTTTACAGAACTGATGGACATCAATGAAAATCTTTATTCATCCCTGAAGAACTTGCTCCTATAGATACACAACTTTTGCTGGACAACAATAAAAGTGGTGTCACCTAAAAAAAAAGAAAAAGAAAAAAAGACCAACAAACAGGTACATTAAATGGTTTTTCAACAGCCACCACTGTGATTTCCTTAGTGTCCAATTAACAGTGATCCTTTGTCTCTGTATGTAAACACCATCTCCACACTTCCTCTATCATATGCAGCAAAGTAACTTATGGTTTACACCATGTACTGTGCGTTGCTAAACAGTAGTCCCAAGTCTTAAGTGCTTGAAACAGGAAGGCATTCTGAAGAAAAACCCTGAAAGAAGGAATCATTTCTGCTGGAAAACATTCCCACACCTTGCATTGAAATAATGCATAAGACTGGTTATTTTAACCCCTAATGTATCACAAAGACGATGTGTAAAGACGAACGACTGCCTGGACGTCTTAACCTCTCTAACACAGACACACATGAATGACCTAATAAAAATATACTGTATCATCATTCCTTCATTAAGAGTGATGTGTGCTCCTTCGTTGTCAGAAATACATTCTATTTGATGATCAATTATAAATGATAAGGTTGCTATTTAATATTTAACCAAATTAAGTGGTATAAAAATCCTTTCCTTAGTGCAAATGTCTAAATTAGAGCTAAATTGAGCAGCAAATAATAATCATACATTGCTTGATTTTAAAAGCCAAAAACATCAGATTCTACAGGCACTGGAGTCTGCATAAAAAAAAAAAACACAATTCAATCACAAAAGAAGGTTGGACAGAGAGCTACTTCACTTTAGTAGTTTTGAGGTGATGACTGAAGCACTAAATCTGAAATTCTCCTTCATAGTTCTCCTTCAAAATGACGGTAATAGTGTGAAAATATGACAAAATGAGCAAAATAAGAGTCTCGCAGAGCAGAGCTGCAAACCATCGAGGAACTAAGTCCAGAGACAGAAAAACAACTTAGATCCCTACACCCTGACAGCTGTCAGAGAATGAGGGCAAGGCAGCACAGGTTCAGTCTTTACTCTCTTCATGAGTGTGTGTGTGTGTGTGTGTGCTTATGTCCATGTCCACTGTGTGTATACTGCATATGTGCGTAGATTCCTCCTAGAAACCAGTGGAGTGGACGCTGGGGATCGGGTAGAACTTGGAGATGCGGCTCTGGTTGGAGGGGTTAAGGCACTCTGACTCGCCGCTCATCTTAAAGAACACTTCCTGTTCCTGCAGCTTCCTGGCAAACTCTTCCTCCAGCGCCTGCACGACACACAGAAAAACATGTAAGTTTTACATGCTAATTTACCCTTCTATTTGTTGAACCAGGTAAATGGATTTCAGCCAGTGTTATAGCCAGTCTTGCATCAACATGTGTCTCATGTGGTCCACAGACAGAAGAGAGGTTAAAGTTTTTTAAACTCTCTACTGTGAGTAAATAAAAACTGATAAAGGGTTATAAGATTGGTCTGTCCCATGTGAGCCTTTGAAATTGTCACAACAAACTGTTGTATTCGTTCCAAGCATTCAAACAAGTATCTGTTCTACTGACCGAATGTGCGATCACTGAGCAAAGTGGCTTCTTAATGTTTCTGCTACCAAGTATCTGACCATGTCGTGAGTGTATTCATCACTGTTTTAGAAAAGCAGGTCATGGTTCTCTGCCTGAAAAGAATGGATTTTTCTCCCCGGGTTGAGAACGAGTTGTTGCCTCAAGTGGAGGAGTTTAAGTATTTCGAGGTTGTTCACGAGTGACGGCAAAATGGAGGGTGAAATTGACCGGTTGACTGGTGCTGAGCCAGCAGGCACTGCACTCGACCGTACTTGCCGGAAGGCAAAGCTTTTGATTTACCAGTTGATCCCAGTTCCGACCCTCATGTGGTCATGAGCTTTGGCTGGTTCGGAAGGGTGGCTGGGCTCACCCTTATAGATGGGGTGAGGAGCTCAGACATCTGGAGGGAGCTGGGAGTAGAGCTGCTGCTCCTCCTCACCAAAAGGAGTCATTTGATATCAAACTGAGGTCAAAAAATTTGAGGTCAAACTGTCGGAGGCCCTGGGGTAGACCCACAATACACTGGAGACTTTATATATCTGGACTGGGAACGCCTCAGAGTCCCCCAGGAATAACTGGAAAGCGTTGCGGGGGAGAGGGGCGTCTGGACTACCTTGCTTAATCTGCTGCCACCGTTATCCAACTCCGGATAAGTGATATAAAATAGATGGATGGATGGATGGAGGCGTTATTAGCTAAACGTCCTGTTAATAGAAACTGTTTGTGATAAATCATTTTGAAAGAGCAACGGCCAATGAGGAAACTTAACACTGCCAACAGTGTAACTTCATGACCCAGTCACATGACATTCAGCTGACCAATGGTGTGACTCGATCACACTCACAGACAGTCGTGTCTATAGGGCTGGCCCTGCTGTTGCTGTCCAACCAAAAATAAATAAATAAATAAATCCAATCAGTTCCATGACAACTGGAAAACTCCATCTGCTGATGAAGATCATGTGATATGATAGCTTGATAGATTGATAGCTCCACACACAGCTAGCATGCAGCTTGTTAGATGACCATAAGTAGACCATAGTGTTGGTCTGAGAGTCTTTAGTATAAAGATAATGGGTTGACCGTGTTTTCAAAAAGGTGAAAACAGAACAAGATACTTCACCTTCTTCCTGGGTCGTAGTTTCTCCCTCCACTCCTTCAGCTCCAGGCTGTGCTCCTCATCCAGCTCCTTCAGTTTCTGGGTCTCATGTTCAATCAGCAGGTGGCACTTCTCATTCTGAGACACACACAGGGAGGTACAGTATTAAAAAACATGTACATAGTGGATAATAATTGCCCAAAAACACATTTTAAATGTATGAGTTTTCCAACAAAAGTTAAAGTTTACGTTTCTTTTATATCTTTACCTGCAGCTGCTGAAGCTCTCGAATGTTGGTGTCGCACTGCAGCTGCAAATCTCTCATCTGGTTCTCATGTTTCTGGTGCTGGTGGAGTCTCTCGTTCTTCTGTCTCTTCTCTTCCTGAGCTGCAAACTGGAAAACACAAATACTATTAGGCTTCACAGCTTATTCCTTTAAATGTGACATGACTGTGTATTGTTGAGATTTCCATCCGCCACAGGACAAAAGAAAAGTGGTTCAATTTCATTTCTGCCATTGTCCATATCGCTCAGGTCATCACCTGTTTGATCTTCTCCCTCTCCTGCTCGGGGGTGATGGCAGCTCCAGTGATGCGAAGGCTCTTCTTGAACATGGCCATGCGGGTCTTGGCCTCACTGCGCTGGATCTTGGGCAGCCTGGCTCTCTCCTGCGTCTGCTTGTTCTTCATCTCCTCGATCAGACGCTGGTTGTAGCGCTGCATCTGTTCCATCTCCTGCACAGGGCACGCACAAACAGGTATGAAAGATGGAGGGAGTTAAGAGAGCAACTTTTTCGACCTTTACTTTTACGCTGAAGGAATTTATAAGATATTATTTGAGGCCAGTTTTTCTGAAGTTGGAAGAACCCATGTAAAAGAACTGAAGTAGACCAAGGCTGCCATCCAGTCTCTACCTTCTCGTGTCTCTTGAGCAGCTGGTGTCTCTGCATGAAGTACTGGTCTTTGAGTTGCTGTTTGAACAACTGGTGTTTCTCCTGCAGATGGCGCTCTTCCAGCTCCCACATAGCAGCCTCCCGTGCTGTACGCAAACACACAAGTGAAGAGAAGACAAAGCTAAATGATTGCACAGACGACCCATTCATAGGCTTATTGGACAGTAATGTCTTGAGAGCAGCTTCAGTACATGGTCTGCAGTGGAGAGGAACATGATGGTGCAGAAGTGCTGAAGTTACCTCATTAGCAGCAAATGGCTGGGTGCTTGAGATACTTATATTAACCAACATCAGCTTTACTACTGAGGTTTCAGCTTTCAAGCTTTGAACTATCTCACAATTTCTTTTCCCTGGGAAAGCTCTTTAAAAGCAGTGACAACCTCCCATGACTTGCTTCACTGAGCATTTCCGAGAAGTATTGTTTGTGCAGCTCCTGGCATATTATGCATGGGATTAAGTCGCAGGCAGCACTAACTGCTAACAGGCTGCTGTTCACTGCAGTCATGTCTGCAGGGGCTGCAGTTGACGTTAGCAGGGATGTGATCCGAGAGTCTCCCTCTACCTCCAAAGAGAGCTTGTTTACTGCTGATACAACTTACTACAGACGAAACAAAACTAACTGGACAGATGTGAAGGAAAAATAAAAATACTTGCTACCAGCCAAAGAAGATTTGCAAATAATGGTAGCATTAACCTGCTTGAAGTAAGAAATAAGTTGGATTTATTTAGTGGCAGCACCTGAATGATTGTGATGTGGTAAAACCTGCCAGTAGCCAGACCACGGTTTAAAGAAATACCAAAAAAATATTCGCAAATGCTGTTTGATCCTAACCTTTGTTTTTTTTTTTTTTAATGATGATCATGCACTCAGAATCAAAAGTGAAACATATCTAGCTATTTTTGTTTAAATGTTAAGACTGCTGAATGACTTCCTTAACAAAAAACTACATGATGCCGAAGCAACATTAGTGTTCATTTGGAATTGGGTTTTGTGTGTGCGACAATTTCTGTAATTTTCTGAAAACAATGATCCAACATTCACACCCACATCACGATTTCACTGTGCAGGCGAAGTGAGAAAGTAAACTGGGTTTGATCTTCTCTCTCTATCTCTGTTTTTTTTCCATCATTTGTTACACAATTTGTGCTATTTTTCATCTATACAATGTGCTTTCTCATCACAATGGAAATCAAATGTGTTTTTATATTTGTTCTGAGAGCCACAGTGAGAGAGAGACAGGAAAGTCAGGGCGAAAGAGATGGGGATGACATACAGCAAAAAGGCCACGGTTTGGACTCGAACCCGGGCCGCTGTGGCTAAGACGAAGCCTTTATGGTCCCTATCGAACGTTAGAAAGTTGTAGCTGGAAGAGGTATCTGACACTATCCAACAGTCGGACATGCAGCTCAGACAGAATATAAATCCATCTTAAGTTCAACAAACAAAGAAACTACCTTCAGTCACACATGATATGAATCATCTGGTGGGATTTTCTTTTTACCTCTGAGAAGCTGCTGCTTGTGGTTGAGACAGTCTCTCTCGATGGTGGCGAGCTCATGTTTGTGTTGCTGGATTATCTTCTTTAGAGCGCTGTCCAGATCCTGCTGCTGCTTCTGAAGAAACTCTTGTTCCTGGACCCAGAATGACACAGATTATAAATACCTTTCAGGACTACACTACACAGGTCCAGCTAACAACCTCAGTATCTGGACTACACAGAGAATCTGAGGCAGGCACTGAACATCCATCCACAACAATCATGACAAATCTTGGGCTTCATTAGTGAAGCACCTTTTATACTGACAGGAAGCACCTTTCCTGCAACAAAAAAACTCGAGTAGAAAAGGTTTTATGAGGCGAGCTGAGTGTGTGATTTAGTGTGTTTGTGTGTGTTTGCTGGCCTATAGGCTTCCTGCCAAGTTTACTTCAGGCTAAACACAGCTTGAGCTGATGAACCAGACAGTTACAGCTGGCAATACTGTTTCACCTGCTTGTCAGTCACATTAATCCGGCCTACTTGGCTCGGCTAACCTGGAGGAACCTGACATTTAACACTCTGATAAAGCACTCAGTGCTGCGCTATAAACATTTTCAAGCTCTATTTTGCTGCATGTCTTTAAATGTCTGCAAACTACATTATGAAAAATAAATTATTTAAAAATTAGCATGTTCTTAGGTGAAAAGTAAAATTAATAAAAAATTAACAAAAAAAAACAACCTGTAAAACCTTTTTAGTGCCAGGTACTTAACTTTAGGTACTGTCCAGTTCCAAATACTCTCCTGATCCACTGGAGAACAATACTATAATGTGTACCATCCTCCTTTCTATGATATACTATAATTATCTATAATATACAGCATTTCATTTTCAGCAGTAAACATTCATCTCAGTATGACCACATAAAGAGATTTGTTGATAGCATAGCACTACTTTAGCTTCGTGTTGACCCTGGTGGATATAGAAAAGACAGGGTTTGTGTGTGTGTGTGTGTGTGTATGTGTATATTAAGAGTAATGATTCATGCTTTAGGAGACACATGAAAGAGGCCAGATCCCAAATTTGAGGAGGCATTAAAACACACATGGGGGGGTTTCACTTACATCCTGTATGGGAGCGTTGCACAGGGTGCACGAGGACAACTGAAAGGACTGAATCATAACATGGGCCACTCCCTGTGGATCACAGTACATTACCCCGTTGCACATTACACTAAACACTGCACACACAATTAAATTCTGAACCTGTGGTGTGCACTGCAAAGTCAGGTAGGAAGGTTTGGAAGAGTGAGGAAAAGTCTGCAAAAAAAACGGCATCAAACAGCTCAATAAATGACTGTTGGCTCACTGCTTTCAACAAAAGACAGAGGAAGAGGTCAAAGTTCAAAATCCACTGCAAACCGAGCCCTCATTATTACCTCCTGTGGTGGGGCTTGGATAACATCCTCTTTAATACGTTTCATGATAGCATTTTTCACATGCTTTGGAGAAAGTCCCATTTCCTGTTTGCCCTGTGTTAGGGCAGCAATGAGCAATAAGATGGAAATAAAATGAGACAAACGTTGAGGTAAGATTAGAACTACGTGAAAAAATAAATGAGAAGTGGCAGCGCAGACTGATTTAGCTCCTGCATGGCTGAACAGAGGTTATGTAAACACTTATGAGAGATCAGAGACGCGTGTGTACGTCTAAGTATCAAGACAACCTGCTATAAATAGGAACCTTATAAGCTCTCCAGTCCACCTGATAGCCAGGTAAAAAAAAAAAAAAAAAAAACGTGAAAGGAAATGAAAGGCAGCAGAATGAGGTGGTCCACATGCTCACCTCTTTCTTGCGGTTTTTCAGCATGTTCTGGTACTTGGCCAGCTCTTTGTCCTGCTCGGCTTTGATGCGTTTGGCCTCGTCCCTGAGCCGGTTGGTGTGCTCCTGCTCCAGCCTCTCGATCGTCTGCTTCTGCTGCCGCTCCAGATTCTCCACCTCCTGGTCATACTGACGCTTCTTACTCTGGAAGTACACGGAGGGTCATGTCATGTCAAACCAGCGGCTCTAACAGAAGAAGCAATTCTGTGCTTTGTGCTTTCACTGTGTTAAATCAAAGAGACATTTTCAGAAGGCAGAAAAATAACAAAATCAATATTAAAACAGCAGATACAAAGAGGACTCATACAAAACTGAGAGGCCATTAGCACAGTGTGTGTCACTGTTGAAAGAGATCTGACAATAACCTTTGTTATGTAACTTTTCAGTGGAATATGAAGCAATTCAAAAGAAGCTAAATAGGAACTGCATGACCTGCTGATGGGCACAGGCTCTGTCATAAACACTGCAGAATATTTAATGTAATTCAATGGATAGAAAATAGGAACATGGCAAACTACATATAGGAATATTCCAAAAATTAACAGTATGGTTGCTACAGTCCTGACCACCATAGTAATGACCGTTGGATTAAATCAAGTTATTCTTCACACAGTAACATGACAAGTGTGTCATTCACAAACTGCCCGTGTCCAAGGCTCATTCACACACCAGGTATACTGAGAAAATGGTGTTGTGCAAATTTGTGACGGCGTTTTCACTCAGCTCATTACACAGTCAGCTCCTGGACTGCGCCTCATACTGAACCTCCAAGATGCACACTCCAACAAATAGCAAACCCCCTTAAATGCAAATGCAACGAGGAGCGAAGCACCCGCTGCAAACACTGGGGGAAAATGCATCACATCTGCACCGAAAAAACTGTGAAAAACTCCCAGTACATCTGGCCCTCACGATTTCAAAGAAGCACAGAATCTGGATCCCTATGCAAAGGCGCAAAGTAACACGCAGATGAGTCATCCTCTTTTACATTTTTTCCCCACATCTGGATGGGTTTTTGTTTGCAGAACGTCAAAGCAAACCTTCACTTAACAACCACAGAATGAGCAGAATGAGTCTGTTTTTTTCCATGTCCAGGTGAGGTGATCCTTATGATCCACAACAGTTTCCCTGTGGTGGTGTCTCCAAATTTACTCATTACACATTACACAATCTCCTTGAGTTGAAAATTAGCAATAGTAGTTTCATGCTCTGTACTCGAACTGTGTTAAATTGCATCGTCCCTCTTAAACTGAAAAATAGAGAAGTTGTGTGGACCTCAGGATAAAGTGAAGAGCACTGAACCAATTCACAAAAAATGATCATAATTGAGAGTTCATGGAGGGTTTTGGATTGCTGCCAAACTCTTTTTCAGTTTCTCAGTCTTTTCAGACTCAGTCAGTTCTTCGAGGGCTGTTTCAGGGTTAAGACTTTGTTTTAGGTAAGAAGGTTAGAATAGGGTTTTATTATGTCAGTTAGGGTCCTGAAAAGCATGTCAGCAGATGTTCATTTCTTTACACTTCAGAAGCCGATGCAACAGCAGCACTGAATTGTCCTGGAACTGATTCTGACACATTTATATTGTCGAGGCCATAAATGAGCTGAGAGACTGAAATGATGGTCGTGTATCAACAAGGTTGAGACCAACTGGGAGAAACTTAGAGAAGACTGAAATGAAAATCAAAGGAACTGGTTGTGGTCGTTTAAACCAAAGTGTTGCTGCCTCAGCTCTAACAGTTCTGGTCGACTGACTCACTGTAGTCTCCTGCTCGAAGCGGCGGTAGGTCTGTTCCTTTTGCTGCTGGAGCTTGTTGCTGAGCTGCTGCTGGGCCCTCTGCTCCTCCTTCTGCAAGAGACGCAGCTCCCTCAGCTCCTGGCGCCTGGAGAAGTGAAGGAGGAGGCAAGAAGGGAGCGGAGGAAGAAACAAAAGAAAGATTATGGTAATAATTCTTTTTCAACAGAGAGCAGGTCACTGTGGGGAACAGATGTCACCTTTAATGAAGCTTTGCTGAGTTCACTAATATACACACTAATATTTCCGGGGCAACTCATTTCCCTAGTATCTGCATGAAACTGATGCCTCAGTACCTCAGGAATCTCATCTCCTCATTCTTGGTGTCATTGTCAGTGAGGATCTTTGACGTAGTCACACTGACTTCCACTCCATCCACGATGAATTTGCGAGTCTTTTTCAGTGTCTTCTTCTGACGTTTGGTGTCCTGGAAAAAATCATTTACATAAACTGTATATCTGCAGCTCGGCAGGTCTGTCATAACACAGCTTCTGGTATTGTAAAGACAGGATCTGACAGAGCTTCAAGAAAAATCTATTCTGGCATTTGATTGTGTTCTGTGTGTGTGTTACCTGAATGGAAACAGATCCAGGCTCTTTAGTTTTGGACAGAAAGCTTGAGATGGACAGATTTAGGTCTACGCTGCTGTTATCTGCAGCTGAGCCGCTCCCTGAGTCTGAATCTCTCTCTTTGTCATCCTTGGCTTTGTCCGGAACTTTCTTCTCATCTTCTGCATTTATTTTATCCTTTTCTGTGGGTTTCTCTCCATTCTCCTCTTTTGGGACAACCTTATATTGCTCTGGTAGTGTCACTGTGACCTTTAGATGTTTGTACCGGTCCTCCTCCTCCTCTTCCTCCTCCTCCTCCTCCTCCTTCACCTCCTCTGCTGGTGTGTTACATTCCTCCACTACAGCCACCTTTTCCTCCTGAGGAGCCTCAATGACCTCTGAGCTCTCTGTGGTGGCCTCCTGATTGGCGGGAACCTCGGCTGTGTCAACTTCCTTTTCATCCTCAACAGCTATCTCGAGCTGCTGCATTTCCTTAACAGGTGCCTCTGGTTCAGTCTCTTCTTCTGGTGAGGCAACATCTGCTTCTGCCTCTGCCTCTGGAAGCTTTTCCTCAACAGGTTTCTGTTCTAGCTGTCCATCCTCAGCTGGAGTGTTTGGAGCCTCCTCTAGGCTCTCCTCTGCTGCAGGGGCGGCAGGCTCCTCCACAAAACTAGTGTCCACCACATGGTTGGCCACAGTGACATCAGTGGGTGTTGGCACAGGGGGAATTGGCTCAACCTTCTCAGGAACAGATTCCAAGATGGACGGAGAGAGGGGGATCTTTTCATCCTCTGAGCTGGCGACGCTGACATCAGATGGGGCGCGTTTGTGGCCCTGAAGCAGATGTAGAAATAACAGAGAAGTTAGTAAGGTTGGTTTTTTCAAAAGCCAGAAAACAAAATTGGTAGGCTGACTGAAAACTGTTCAATTCCAGCAAAGGAACTTTGCTGGATATTATACCCCTCTATCCTTCTCCACATATTTCCAGTTTCTACCCCTTGGAAAAGGCAAAAGTATCCCCCAAAAAAATCTTAAAGCAAACAAACACAAACAATAAAAAACAAAATCACAGGTTCCTTTACAATGAATCTAAAATCACTTCTAATATCAAGCTGCAGATTTGCTGCTTTACTTTGTTTTCTATGTGGAAAATGAAATATGTTTGGACTGATGTGATGTGAATATGTGAATTTGTATCTAAGTAATAGGCCAAATATTATAGACAATGATAATATAATGATAAAATAATTGGAGGATTAATCAGTCATGAAAACAATCCCTAATAAGCCCCTAATTACTTTATATAGAACCACGTAAATGTATTCAACAGACTCACAGCAAATCATAGACTGGTAAAATGAAAAAACGAACAAAAATAAATAAAACAAACAACAAACGCAGTGTTTTCTCCTGGAGGACAAGACGTTTCTCTCAACAGTGCCAAAGCAAACCTTTTGCTTGTTGATTTTAGTTACGTTCACCCACCAGATGTGTCTCTGTTTCTTCCTCCTCCTCTTCCTCTTTGTGCTCTTCAATCTCCTCTGTGACCTCAGCCTTCGCCTCAGCTATGAGCTCCCTAAGTGGCTTGCTGTCCGTCACACTGGTCACAAATGAATGCTGTGCAAAAGACAAAGAAAAATAACCAGGGTTGTCAAGTAATTAAAAAAAACAAATCAAATTAATGACATGCTTTGTGATGAATTCATCTAAATTAATTGCATATATGTGAATATTTGTCGCGAGAAGCAGGTGAAATACTGCACCAAATCATAAATATACAAATGTAAAGCGTTCTGGTGCTGAAGCTCCATCAGTGCATCAGTCCCTGCAGAGTTTTTGCCTTTTGCTGTTTTTGTGTTTTATGACTGTTTCATGTTTAAAGTTTTCGGTCAAGTCAGCCGCAAAACTCATTGTAGTTTTCCCCATAATTGCTGGGCCACACCGAAAAAGAGGAGGTGAAAGAGCAAGTTGAGATCACCCGCTGATTCCTCCTCTGAATTGTCCTCATCAGAAATGTGGGACTTTAGCGACACAAGAGGGTCTGAATGATCTTCTCTTTTGAAGTGAATTGATAGTTTGATTTGTTGTCCCCAACGGGCCAAGAGAAAGAGCTGACGGACCAGGCACAGGCAGACGACATCCCGCACACAACTGTCAACATCCCCAATGGTGTCAAGGGGAATGAAGAGTGTGTTTACTCTAAATTCATTTTTAAATGATGTGTTATTTAATAAGATGAATAATTGAAATGAATGCGCTATTTAGACAGTTCTGAAAATAACATGGTTATAAATCAAGATTCAGTTTAAATATCAGCACACAGTGCATGGCATATGCTGTGGTAAACATTTTTCCTGCTGCAGTAAAAGCTCTGCAACCTGCCGGGAATGAACCCCATAGATTTTGGGATGTAAACTGCTCACAGCGTTAAAACACTGCCGCTTTTTTGACGACATAAGACACAACAAAGTGAATCCAACAAACACGCATTAAACAATACAGGCTGAATATTGCAAACTTTCTTTTTTGCATCCTTCAGTTACTCTGTCTCTCTTGGGGATTTTCACCTGTCTGTCTGAGAGCACTTCACAATAAACAAATAAATAAATAGATCAGAAAACTTCTTTAATGCAGAGCCGGATAAGACTACAAACACGACATATCTCTTGTCAGCCTCACCTTCTTCGGTTTAGAAATCTGCTGAACGTATTCTATGGCAGGCCTGAGAATATGCAGCTTCTTTGATATCAAAACCTTCATCGGTGGCAGGCCACTATTTTGTATTTTTAAGCCCATCGAGTCTTCTTCTGCGCAGAACAATCCTTCAGCTGCAGAGATGTGCAGTATTTCCTGAGTCTGCGTGTGGATGTGTCCTTACTGGCTCTCTGTAAGTAAGTGGCTCGGACTTGGCCGAGCACCTTAAACCCTATGGAAAAAGAAAATCCTGCTCTGCTGACGTCAGCTCAAGCACAAAGGGATGAGTGTCAGTCTTGCCAGGACACGCGGTTACCGAGCAGGTAAACAGATGTCGTCTAGGACTCTGGTGCTTATGCTCTGAATGGCAGCTGGTACATGGGTATGGGATGGGGAACGAGGATTATCAATTGATTTAAATGGCTAGGTACAGGGCTGTGGGAACTGATACGACAGTCAAAAAGGGGTTCAGAACTTGAGAGTGAAAACGATGTGTGAATGTTGAAGAAAAAGGCACCTGTAGAAGTTGTGTCGGGTTCCACCTGTTGTCCACATTCTTGTCCAGACACCGCTTTAGGAAATCACTGAACTCTGGAGACCTAAAGGGTGGAAGTGGCAAAAAATAGACTTGTCCGTGGTCTGTTTCTTCCAGCACATTTAAAATGTATTGCTCTGTATGGCTGAAATGTCTTGAAAACTGACAAATATCTAAGGTGCTCAGTACAAGGATGCAAAACTAAGTGGAATGGGCATTTAAAAGGGTAACCCAAAGGCTTGCTCATCCTTGTCCCCGACAGGACAATAAAGCTTCGCGCTGTGACTCACCAGCGTGACGGCTGCATCAAGGTAGGAGGATCGGACTTGGCTATTTTCAGCAGGACTCTCATGGGGTTCATCTCGTGATTGGGCGGCTCAATCTGCGCCAGCTCAATCAAGGTGACCCCGAGAGACCAGATATCGGCCTTGTAGTCATATGGACGGTCCTTGGACGTCTCGCACATCACCACCTCGGGAGCCATCCTGGAAGGAAAGAATGGAAATCATTGAGATGAGATGTAGAGTTCATGGATGTTTCTGTATTACAGAAAAACTGACAGTGAGTAATAGTGGATTTTTTTTGTCTAAACTGGGCTAAAAGGGATTTTTAATGACTATGAAATCATTTTTGATTTGATTTCCACTCACCAGTAAGGCGTTCCAATGAAGGAGTCTCTCCTCTGCAGCGTTTTGGTGTTTTTGGCGGACACACCAAAGTCAGCTGGAAGACATGTGATACAAGGCAAACCAGAAATTAAGTCAGCAGAACACACACATTCATTTTCCAACTGTAACCACACAAACCAAACAAGTCTAAAGTGAAAAACTGCAGCACAAATACTAATCTCATCAGTCCACTAAAGGAACACAAAATAACGCAGCCTAGGAAACCAAATGCTGTTATGACAGCCTTCCTACATTTGCATGATGACATCATGCCTTGTTTGCTTCGTGTGCGAGTAACGGCTCACGGGTTTCCTAGCAGGCAGTTGCACAGGCAACTCTGTGTGTGCGCTATGTCACTGGACAAAATGCTTGTTGTCAGTTATATGTGTGCAATGAGCCTGTTCCATCCACCAGCAATGACTCACACCGTTACTCTCAGTAAGCTACATTACTGCATCTGCAGGATACATGTGTGTGTGTGTGCACACACTGAGCAGCAGGACCAAACAACTGCTGTTGTGCATAACGGTAACTAATTGACATCATGTCTGCAAGAATCATGCAACAATAGACGTATGCAGAATATGTTACAGTGCATTTCTTTTACAGTTCCTCTTTTAAAGATGCACTGCACTTATTTCACACATGAAGTTCAGTTTACTTGTCAAAGAGAACTATTCACTATGCTGCGAAAACAGCTGAATAACATCTTTGTTGACTCTAGAGGAAGCTTTGTGAGAGGTGTGAGTAATTTGACTATGAGGTTTAATTATTGGCAGGATGCAGGGAGGTGTCTGATGAAAGATTACAAAGAGTTGCATTAGGGGGACGTGGGATCAGTGTTTCAAAGGGATGACCTTTTCTTGAGTCTAATATCACTTTCAGACTGCAGTCGTCTCAGTTCATGTAGGACCTGCGTTGGATCCATTCACGACACAGCACCTGATTCTCCCAGTTAACTCCAGTCTAGACTCCAGTCTTAACGGTTCTGTGTTCATCTGCACACTCCCTCCCACATATGCGCTGTCTATTTCTCTCTCCCTCTCTCTTTTTTTTTTTTTTGATGGGCTGGGCAAATTACATTTAAACGTCAATGTCCTTTAATTAATGTCCATTCCTGCTTCCTTCCCACACCAGTCCCACCCATGTTCAACCCTGACCGAGAGCAGGGCTGTGCAGGTGTGTCAGCTGACAGGGGCTGACCCATGCAGATAGGTCTCTCATACTGTGTCGGTCTGAATGGGGTATAAGTGCTGGGATGAATCAGGCTCCGCTGTTTCATTTCTGATGACTTTTTATTTAATATTTTATTCTTTAATAATACTGGTGTAACGGCCAAAAGTACAAAAATAAGTGTAACACTCTCTAAATATCCAGTAAACATGCCAATTGTCTGTGTCAAATCCTTCCGGAAATCTTCTGTAGTAGGAACAAGAGCAGCACAAGTTTACACAAAGTCCCAACATTCTGACTGTTCTACATGCATATAGTGTCATGCACGAGAAGGATCATGTGAACTTGTAAGCTTCTTGCATTAGAAAGGCTCAAAAATTAGCGTAACAAACTTCAAAGAGGTGGAGTTGTTTTTCTGATCTGATCATCTGATGATATCACACTCAACAGTTTTCACCAGTTCAGATAACTACATGTTTTTAGCCTGTGTGTGTGTGAAAAAGGGCTGTAAATGCCATTTCCAGCAGTTCAATCATGAGGAAACATGAGGAAAATACATGGAGACTATGGCTAAAGGCACATAGCCTACATTGCTAGACTGTGAACTAATTTATGATTTTTCCCTTTGAAAAAGTAAAAAAAAAAAATTATATGAGTGAACCAAGAAAAATGTACTTGAGAAGCGAGCCAGTTCACCCTGGTCCTCAACATTTCTGTGTGTATTACACAGCTTGCAGTTTTCTCCTCTCATCCTACAACAATATTCATTGAAGCATGTATGGATTGAGTCATACAGATTCTGGATAATATAGGAAACAGATTGAAACATGTACATCCTGGTGTTAACAGCTGGATCTAACTTTGACCTTACCCAGCTTGACATCACCATCCAGTGTGAAGAGGATGTTGCCGGCCTTCAGGTCTCTGTGGATGATTTTGTTGTCATGGAGGTAGACGAGGGCCTGCAGAGTCTGCTTACACACCACCTTGATCTGAGGCTCTGTCAGGGGTCTCTCTAGTTCTGCAGAGAGGCCAGGGTCACACAGACACATGCATAGGTGGTAACAAGGACTTTTTTGATGTCTTAAATTGGCCTTTTTTTTGTTACTTTGCTGTTTAGTGCTATTTCCTGAACAGTTTCCTTTTTTGTTACAACCTGTACTCAAAGAGGAAATGCTGACTCACCGAGCATGACAGCATCCACAGCCCCTCCTGCACAGAATTCAATGAGGATCTGCCAATGAGAGGGAAAAAATGACACACAGTCATGTGTTTTTTTTTTTTTTTAAACAGGTATTTGTTTATGTAAAAAGGCGCACATAACATAAAATAGTTGTTAATATTTAGATACTAGCAGTGAGCTATGCTACAAAATGTATTTCAAATGGAAGTGAGTGCAGGCCATTCATGAAGCACTGATACACTGGCTGAACCTAGTGAGCTCTAAACTCTATTGTGTGGGTCTGGAAGGTTCTGAAGTTCAGAGAGGAACCTCAGTGTAATTAGTTTACTGGAACATTCACTGTGTACACACAAACCTCAAAGGGCCTCATATCATCATCATCATCATCATCATCATCATCATCCTCTTCATCATGTGCCTAACTACTGCCCTGACTAAGGTAACTTGAGAATGAACCTTCACCGAGCCTGTGTGAATGAAACACTCAGCTGAGCCCTTAAAGGCATTTAGGAGCTTTCAGTGTGGCTGTTGCTGTAAGAGGATTGGCCCAGTTGGGGCCATTTTGTGGAAAGGGTTTCACACAGCTGCTAGCTAGCTTGGTAACTACATTGCCAGACCTTAGCCCTTATTCTGTAAATAGGATTAGAGTATCTAGGGTGTATGATTATGGCAGAAGGTATGGCAAAGCATCTGGAGCAGAGTGTCTTCATTGAGCTTAAACACAAGGCTAGCCTTATAGCATGATGCTAACTCACCGCTTCACACTGAGATTTGGGGAAGATTTAGCCGCATGTCAAACCTAAGAAACAGGAAGTAGATGCCCTTCTGCAATTTTGTTACCATTGAGAAACTCATTGTGGTTGATATGTTGGTTAACACCCTTGTTTCTGTGACAGGGTCAACCTGCAGGTTAAAAGACATGTCTTCTAAACAGCCTATTTCTTAAAAAAGATCAACTCTACAGTTTCACCAAGGTTCAATGGCATTCCATGATTGAGTTGAGCTTTTCAAGACTGCTCCCCTTCCAACAACAAAGCCCTTACAGGACATACAATGCCTCAAGTCTCAGAACAGTCTTGGCTATTCAAAACGCACACCATTCTAGTGTTTCTCTGTAGGCGTGCTGTTGTTTTAGTGGCTCTGCTGCTGTACAATGGCCCCCACAGTGATTTCTCAGAGTGGCAGCTGGCAGAGAGGAACCATGGGCCAGGGCTGTGGCTTCCTCTCACTTGTTTATTTGACACACACAAATACATGGAGAAGTATGCACCCGCATATTTTCTAATCCATTCATGTGTCACCGAGAGGGAGGATGTGAGACAGAATATGATATCACCTTTAAGTTCAAGGCCTGAAAGGATGAATGCCAGACACATCACAACAACCAAAGCATGAAAACAGACTCTAGGAAATGTTGCTGTGCAGCTGAAAGTGTAGCGGGGAAACAAAGGTCAGTGGATGACACCAATTTAATATGCAGTTATAAAGTAAACCACCTCCCAGACTCTCCAGGGATTAAGTGGAATGAAGCCTTTCATCTCCTGGAGGAAATGTCCTGGATACTCTCTCATCTTTGCACAAACAGGTGCCACACAGGTCAAGATAAGAATCAGCAGACAACCTCAATCAGGCTGTGACCATTGTTCAGAGGACAATGGAGAGGAAAAGGGTAGAGTGCACAATGAAATGTACTGAAATGAAATACTCAGGTAACCATGAGTGTTTATAATGACTTGACTGTGCCTTTAGATGCTTATGTACTTACTAAAATGGGTCAAGGCATGATACTTTCGATCAAGTCCATACTCTATTTCTAAATCTACCTTTTGTCTATATATTTCATCTGGTTTTGGGAGTATGAATTTCCAAGACAAATTTCAAGCTATGGCCCCAAGTAGAAATTAATGTCCTTTGCTGCTGAATGTGTTATTTGCTTAGATGACCATGATTAAATATTCTATGGTGTATATGACAGGAAAGAGAAAACCCCTGAATTACCGGTTAGACCAACCTGTAATCTACCTCAGTCACTGTGACTTCCCCACACACACTATTTATTTATTAATAAAGACTTCCCTTGTGTTCAGGCCTTGGATATAATTCATATCTACTGACAGAGGTTTGCTCCAGAGCCAAGGTAAAAGACACTAAGGTACTGTATCTACACAACGAATTAGTATTTACAGGAGCCCATCACTGATGCCCCAATGGTGTGAAATATATATAAAATTCAGACTTTGTGTTGCAACGAATAGACAAAATTCTGATAGTTTTCAAAGATTAAAGATTACCAAATACACATAGCTTTGTTTGGAGTCAGTACTGGCTACGGTGAGAAATAGAGGCATTTAAAAATGAGCTCATATCAAAAGCGTATATTATTGTTTATTCTTATTTATTATATACATTTATAAACTGGTACAATGATTAACAGCTCTAACGGCTGCTTGTTTCTGCTACTCATGTGAACTTTGGTTTCAATTTCTGATAAGAATAGTAGGACAGGAACTTGCATATACTGTGAAAGACTAAAAGCACAGTGATGCAAGCTAAAGGCATAGATAAATGTATGGGCGCCCATGGTGAGCCCATATTGTCATTATCAGAACAACAGGAAGTAATTCTTCTGTAATTTATAGAGCATATGTACTATGGGGGGAAATTTACTACCACATTTGCTCTTGTTTTTGTCTGAGTTTTAGGCTGCACAAGCTGCACTGCAAAAAACATTTACTGGATGCTCCATCATAACATCAAGATTGATCTAATGTGTGATTTAGAAAGAAGCTTTACTAGCTCAAACTGCTCTATTAGATCCATATTTTTCCCCCTGCTCGGAATACAGAGGAAACACTACTGACAATGTGACTCCAGAGAGCTATTCCCACTACTCACCCAGAGTTTGCTCTCATAATAGAAAGCATCAAGGAGTTTGACAATGTTTTGGTGGTCACAGGAGGCCAGGATGTCAATCTCCACCATGTAGTCCTCCAACTCTTCCTCGGTCTTTGTGTCAATAACTTTGGCCGCAGCTAGGATGCCCGTCTGTTTGTTCTGGGCCTGTAGGATGAGAGTGTTATTAGACTGCTGTATGGCCAAAGGAGTCATTTAACCCACCCTGCTACATCTTGCTTGGCTCATACTTTGGTCTAGTGCAGAAAATTTGTGTTTGTTCTTTCACATAATCATCAAGACTCATAGACACCAAACTTTGTTCATGTTGGACTTGACCTCAGACCTGCAATAAACACCTGACGCAGCCATTAAAAGGATCTTAAAACAATAAATAACACTCTGCTCTGGTGCAGGACCCAGTAAGTCACTAGAGCATGAGACATGTCTGGTTAGAGTGGAAATTTCTCCTGTTTGTTTGGGCTTCGCTGCGAGCAGGATGTGCTCAATGAAGTCGCTGCTGCGATATGGGATGTAGCCACTTCCTGGTGACCTGCCAGTGTGCCATGGTCAGCCATACACGCCATTAAAAAAAAATACAATCTACTCCTCAGTACTAAATCTGAAAGCTCATGTTTCTCTGTGAATCAATAGAGTGTGACGACTCTCCCATTGGTGCTTCAGAGGAGTGGTGCAATACAATTGGAATAGCTCAAAGCCCAGACATGTAAATATAATAACACTACAATTTACTATTTGCAGACATCCTTCCAGTACCACTGCCAGGAGCAAAAAAACATGAAATGCTTTCATATAATGATGATGATGAAGGATCTGTGTTTCTCCCCTCTTAAACTGTCGGTCTAGTTCATGTGAGCCTTGCAGGGGAATGCTGGGAAACTGGCAATCTGTGTGAGAAGATTATGCTTCATTTAAGTATGATACAAAGTAATGTGACTTTTTCAGAGGATCCAAAAGCAAAAGCAGGCTTTGGCAACAAGGAAAAAATAAGAACATGTAAAGTGGTTTTATCAGCCACAGACTTCCTGGTGTTGGACTTGGTAAAGCCCTCGTGCGTGATAAAATTTACTGTCACTCATGCAAATGAAGCTCCTGGCTCCAGCTATGCATTAGGGTCAGACCAAACAATGGCACTATTAAAATGATGACACAGGGTTTGGCTTTGACACTGGGGCAGCTTTCTGAAAATGTAAATGGGGAATAATTTGGTTGGTTTGTTTGCATAAACAATTCCTTGTTGTAGGTATGAGAATCTAAAAAGAGCTGATGGGCAGATACGATGAATATCTGCATGTATATGACCAAGGAAATGTTAACTTTGGTAAAATCCCAGCTTGGCTTGCCAAAGGAACCACTTTGTTAAGAAGTCAAGTTTCCAGCAACGGGTGGATCTGATGACATTTGATAGTCTGTCACATGCAAACAAAGGGAGAAGGGTTAGACAAATATCTTGGATAACTGTGAAGTAGGAGGTCAGTCATATTTGACACCACCTATGTCACAGAGCTGGTGCATTGGTCTGAAGATGGTGGGTGGGTCAGAGGAATACAAGATTGAGGTCACACTGCTAGCACGTTGTGTCAGGCATCAGAAAGAAGAATTGTTGGGAGTGGAGAGGATATAAAAGACTCAAAACACAAGTTTGCCACATTATAACAAACAGAGGAAAAACTATTCCCTACAAAGAGCAGCTTTGAAGGAGACCTACCTTGTACACTTTCCCAAAGGCTCCATCTCCCAATTCACCAATTATGTCCCATATTTCCTCTGGATTTTCATCTCTGCGCACATGTTCATACTGTTTCTTCTTCTTCTCAGCTCCCAATTTAAATATTTTACGGAAATTAAAAAATGACATACTGAATCCTGGGTCATTCAGTTAAGAAGTTCACAAAGGAATTCACTTTAAAACGCCAAAGTAGTGTCGGTTTCCTTCAATACTTTACTGTAGCATAAATGTTAGGAGAAACATATGTGTCCCATTAACTAGTTATAAATATCCGTCTGGTCAACACGGAATGTGGCTTTCATAATAGTTAGGATCAAAACCTAGCTTAGCTTTTGACTGTTTTGGCCAGTCCAGAGAACAGCTCTTTCGCACATCATGGGTCATTGTTAAACCCTAAAATAATAATGAAAGGTTAGCCTAGACGTGTTCTAGCATCTGAAATCTGCCTAAACAAGACTTTATTTTAATGCAAAGTACAACGCGAAGCTAGTCGTTGTTCTAACTCCTGACGACCCACTGGCCCGACAACCCTGTGAGCTCTTTCCACAACCAAAAGAAAAAAAACAAGATGAGTGGCGTTCGTCCAAATAGTTGTATTCCACAGGATTGTTAATCAGTTTCCTTGAGGGTAAAAAAGAGTACAGTTGATCCGCATATTAACATTCACTGAAATGGTAAAAACAGTCATCTTTCCGGTGCTGTGGGACGGGTTTACTAATCTAGCGGATTTAGTGTCTGTGCGCGTTCACGCTTGCGCGTGGCTGCTATGGTTCTTTCTCTTCTTGCCCCTCGTGTTGGCGGGGTCATCATTGTCTTCTGCTGCCCTCGTCTGTACGGGAGACAAAACACAGCAAACATTGGGGACATTTAAAGTATTCACGGCGATAATGCAGCGTCTTTTCGTGCAGAAAAACTAGTCAAGTCTGCTGTGTGCCACTTGTTCATTGTAGTATTATTGCCTCCATCGCTTCAATAAGCACAGGAGTCTGGTTTCTTTGTGTCCCAGAAACTACATGTCCCATAAACCATTGCGAAACATGAACGCGCCGCACAGGGATAAAATGCCAGTACAACTTTTTCAAACATGTACATTTTTAATGCTATTCTTCTACGCTACCATTTCGTGCACGTTTACACACACATTACAGCGCTAACGTAAATGACAAATAGATATTAATGTTAGCAACGCGTGACGTGACAAACTTAGTCACTTCTCAAGACACTGCACTGCAGCTAGCTTACTTTCTTGCTAGGGACTGCTAGCCCAACGGGGCAGAACAGCTGCTTTTGCTTTAATGCTGAAATGCAGGCGACTACGATGGATTTAGCAGAAGAACCTCCCTCTATGTTATGGGGACTGGATCCAATCTTTTCTGCCTTTGCCAGGCTGTATGTCAGAGACATCCTGCAGATGACAGAGTCCACACAGGTTCCAGGTAATAACACTTACCTAGCTATAGACTCTCAATTTGTTAGTCACTTGCTTTTTGCTTAGTCTTTACTATGGAGCGTTCACATTACAGGTCCTAATATTTTTGCCCAAGAGCTAACTAACTTACCAATGTAGCTGCAAACTGTAATTAATTACTGTAATATTCAACGTTAGCTAGTTAGCTAATGACTTTGTAAGCTCATGAAGAACTTTATCAGATATTTCTCTTTGTTTTCTATCTGACATGACTGTAACTTATATATCCTGTTGTTTTTGTTTCATTTGATTTACCATTTTTAATCAATATTATCACTGTGACTGTGAAGTTTAACTTGGCCCTTAAAGATGTTTATACGTTACATATTTAATAACTAAGCCAGTTTTTGGAAGAAATGACTGATAGCCGATCTTGACAATTATATAAATTGATGTTTTTTAGATTATTGTTTTTGTTCTGTGTATGTCTCACAGGTATTTACTTTTACAACTCACATCCAGTCTACAAAGTTGATGTACTTGGGACAGTAGTTTACAAGAGAGAAAGAGAAGACTTCTTCTGTTATGGAGGTAATCTTACTGAGTTCCTGTGTGGAACAGAATGATTGTGTATTTCAGCAACCACTTGCAAGTGCAGTTTGTGCGTATGTGTGAGTATGTCAGTTATGTATTGATGTAAGTATTTTGGCAATATTCTGATGCACTATGGCAGTGTCAGCTGAACAGTGACAGCTCATGGATAAAGCGCAGTCTCCATTTGTGACAATGCCCCAGTTTTTGTTCACCTTTCACAAACTGACACACACTGTCCTGTTGTATAAAGTACTATAGATAAAAATGGCTTTGATTTATATATCCTATGAGCAAAACAACAGTCTTTGTCTGATTCTGAGTATCTCTTCATCTCTTCACAGTGGATGATGGTACTGGTGTTATAAACTGCCTGTGCTGGAAAAAATACCTGTTAAAAGAGGAGGAGGATCCTGGTAAATGTGAGTTTGCATGTGTTTAATTTCAATGCTAGCATTGTTGTATGTTAAGATCTGTATTGCACCCCAGAAGAAGCAGACACACTGTATACTGAATCACCAAATCACTACAAATTGACTTCCAAAAGAAAAATGATTTGCGCACTGATACCAGATAATATGAGTTCAGAGCAGTATGTAGCAGATGATCATGGGCCATATTATTACATATTAAATAGTCTGTATTAGCTGTATGGCATCCTATTCGCTGAGTTTTTTATGTGATTAACACACATCATTTCTACTGTTAAGTTAGTCTCTTTGTGAACAACCACAGTTATGTTTTCTTCAGTGTTCCTCTCCAAAACACACTGTCCATTGGCTAGCCAGCTAGCAATGTTCTGCCTCCCTGCCTTTTGAAGGCGCATTGCTATGTTTCTTGACACATTATGGCCTTCAACCATTGTAGTTTTGATCTAAAGAACTTGTAATCCTTTTTGCTTTTATGTGATTGGTTTGGCCTTATTTAAAATGAATTGGTGGTTAAGTGGGCATATTGTTTATGTTTGCCCACTAGAACAATAAGGTGTAATCAGTAATAATAGTTTTTCTTGGTACGAAACATTGAGGTTGACTTTTATTTATTGTCTCTGGAATTGACTCTTCCATCCCCACACACGCTTGTATTTAGCTAAAGCTGCACTACTTGGCTACTTGACAACTTTTGGCCACTCAAAGGTAGTGTATGAAGCTGAAAACACAATATCTGACATATTAGCACCTTGTTAAATTGTTATGGGGACCTTATCAGCAAACAGTTGCTTATTACCAGACAGCATTCACAGAGCAACATCGGCATTCATTTGACTGTATTTCTGGCTACCAGACAAATTAAAGTTCAGTATTCACTCTCCTTATAGTTTTGATTTGGTCTCAACCAACTCCTGAGAAAAATATTAGGATATTTTTGCTTTGTATGTTGTATTTGCTAACGGTTCCTTTGTCTATCTGCCGTCTGGTACTGGACATATAGTGGACTGAGGGTTTATCTTAGCTTTTGCACTGAAAATAAGTTGATGGGAGCAGATTTTGCAACAAAATCAAAACAACAAACTAAAAGCGGCTAAACAGCTCTTTCACGTCACACATTGAGTAGTGCAGCTTCAAAATCTTGCATCTTTATGGATTTTTTTGTCTTTTTAATAATTGAACTGTTACTGAAAAGAGATTTAGAAATATATTTAAAGGTGTTGCACAAAGTAATTATTGTACAGTATATTTATTAATTACAACAAACCAAACTGTAATAACCTATATTGATTTGTCATCTCCAGCAGGGGGAAAGCACAGTGATGCAGCTAAAGGAGGCTTCGACCCAGTCGCTGAGCTGAAGAAGCTGAGAGAGGGCCAAAAGAACCGCTCCTGCTTAGAGATTGGAGAGCTGCTCCGAATAAGAGGACTGGTCAAAACGTCGAGGCAACAGAGAGAAATCATGGCCTCCACCTACTGTGAGTGAAGAGGACTGTCCTCAGTCTCCTTGTTTTATCTGCAGACCATCCACTTTTACAGAATTACCAACCAGCTATATTTTTTAAATATTAGATCAACCCAACAAATGTCCAAGAATACCAATGTTTAACTAATGGTTGATAACCAGAGAACTTACAAATGCTCAAACAGGAACATACAGTTCACACAACCAACACACAACCAACACACACTTGAAGTGCCCAGCAAGGAGATTATTTATTGTGGCACTGCAGTCTTGTTTTATGATGGCCTACATGTCTCTTTCTCATACACACACACACACACACACACACACACACACACACACACACACACACACACACACACACACACAACCACATGTAGCACATTTTTTATTTACAAGTACATACCATCTCTATCCTCTGCCCATATATCATGTGCGTATCTGTGTCCGTGTGTGTGTGTGTTCCCAGATAAGGTGAACGACCCAATGATGGCACTCCAGATAGCATGGATGATGGAGGTTCCTCAGCTCTACAGACAGTGCTATGACAAACCGCTTCAGCTGCAACTGAATGCAGATAGGTACAAACATCCATCCTTTAATGTAGATCACAGCACAGTGAGAGCCCTAATCGAGACAATGAAGATTGAGTTCAGTGATTAACCCAAAATGTCTTCCTGAAAACAGCATTTAGTAGTTGTGACACTAAAACTCTTTACTGAAACCAAAGAATAATGGATTCTCTGCGGTTTCCTCTCTGATTGTTACTCATCTCTACAAACTCAGACTATGTGCAGCAACAGGTCTGATTTTGTAAATGTTGCAATGTTGGTACCAGAAAATGTATCATTAAAATCCGTGAATTGCCAAGTGCAATAAAATAAGATTTTATTTATACTCCATTTCATGACAACATTCAAACACTAAAACTGTATGTAAAAAAAAAAAAAAAAAGTAAAGCTATTATTATAACTATTATTATTACTAGTCATTTTTTTTACATCTTTGGGGCAGAACAACAAACTGAACATCATACATCACACTTTGACATACAATATCATGGCCTCATAATGTTGATATGTATAATGTACCAGCAAACAGCAGACACAAAGCAACTGTAGCATAAATGTAACGAATAGGTCCAATATTCACTTTCCTTTTGGTCTCCACCAGCTCCTTATGGAAATACTCACCTCTTTGGCTACAGTACTAAATGCTCCAAAATGTTCAAGAGCTTCAGCATTAATATAAATTGTTCTAAGGCCAATTTCTTTGTTTGTTTTTCAGTGACACTACCATCAGTTCCCTCAGCAAGGCAACCAATATCATCAAGGATTTCTTTAAACAGAAGTCAGTGAGCAGGTTCAGACCCTATGATGTTCAGGACTTGCTGCAGCCTCTCATCTCTAGCCAGCCTCAAACTACATCTGCTGACCAGGTATGGCAGAATAATATCACGGAAACTATTTTTGTTTGAAGATGTGTGGTAGAGGGATGAAGCAAAAATTAAACATCCAAATGTATTTGAAGAGTCCATCTTAGGTGAAGAATGACAGAAGGAATAAATAAATAAAGTCAAGATTTGATTTCTTGCAACAAAGATACGTTTATTCTTTAATTCAGTTGCAGGTATTGGGCATACTGAAAAATTATTGTACTTTTAAAGCAGTTGGCATGGCAACTTGCATATTATGGTAACGGAAACGTTTTTATGTATCTATAACTACAGCAGTAAGCAACAGATTTACACAGTAAGTCTAGAATTAAAGGTGGCTTTTTTTTTCCAGAGTTGCACTTCAGTGCTTTTGTATTTTGCTCCTCTGCTGGTGTTTAGGAGCCAGTGGCAAGTGTGTCTGCCTGCCAGCAGCTACGCCAGCTTCTGAAGGAAACACTGGAACTGTTACAGAACGAGGGTATCATATACCGCAAGGTCAAGTCTCAGGATGAAGTCTATAATGTAAGAAACAGAGACACCTTGAATGAATTCTTCCCACTTCATTCGATTATTATTGTGTAGATTTACCATGGACTTTAATGTGTCTGATGCTGTTGCTCCTCATTAGGTAACTGCACAGGATAAAGATCTACTTATAGCGGTAAAAGACATTATCAGGGAAGACTCAAAGAGAGAGAAGTGTAAGTATACTTGATGTTTGCTCTAAATGAAGTATGAACATTTTGACTAATGCTGACCTACTGTACTTTCAGGTTTGAGTGAGTGGCAATCTTCTCTGTGGCAGTGTGTTGAGTGTAGCAGTAATTACTATTCAGCTGAAACAATCAAAAATGAAAGGCTTTTACCTGCCTGTCAAATATCAAATTACCACAATAATTACACCTACTGTATGTTTCACCTTTACAATTAGAGGCTTAATTTTCACTATAGGGCTAATGCCCTTTTGTCATTCTGCTTCCAAAATGGAATACACACTACACTGTAACGTGTAAATAATAAACCGATTAAAAATCCTAAGTAACATCAGGAAAAAGTAAATTCCATAAATAAGTCGCCATTTAATCTTGGTTTGCATGACCACATACTGTACCTGTGTGTTGACAGCTGTTTCCTCCTGTGCCTGTAGATGCAGAGAAGGGTTGCCACGTCCTGCACATCCTGTCTGCAGTCAAGCAGCGGTACAGCCTTAATGTGAGCAAAGCAGCGCTGGAGCTGGTCCTCAAATCTCTGGAGTGCAACAGTGACATTGTCAGCACCACTGACAACCATTACACGGTGTTTTAACTCAAGTACAGTGAGGTTGGGAACCCTCGATTACTTTACTTAATATTAGTACATGGCTTATTGCTCCAAAATGTGAGTGACAATTATGATTAAGTAAATCATGCGATTTGTATTCTTGTGTTTATCCTGAGCCTTATCCTGGCTCCACATTTGGTGTATTTTATATCACTGCTATTATATTATGTAAGTGTGCTAAGGTTGAATACTAGGTTATTTAACAGACATGTCTAAGAACATGGACATCCGGGAAGTGTTCGGGACCACTGTTGAAAATATTTATGATACTTTAATAACTTTTTTCTAACCACTTATTAAATTGGCAAATTGATATTTTCTCAGTCAGCGGCCATTGCTTTTCTTGACTATTGACACATTGAATGGCAATACAACACAATAGACAGTGTGCTGCATGTTTAACATAAATATAACACCTAATTTATACCATATATGACACATCATGTAACGGCAGATATACAGTAATATAGCAACTTTGTAACAAACTGTGTGTATACAGTGTGTTTATCCTACATACAGTACATTACAATTATACACAATATAGGCTACTGTATACACATGCATGCACGCGCACACACATACATACACACACAACACTGATTTAATCTCACCCTGTCAAAGTAGTGTATTGTGTTTGATTGTACAGCGTTTCAACGCTGGAATATTATGTGGCCCTAGATTTACTGTGTGGTACTTTAGTTAAAAACTTTGATTTGCGAATATGTAACATATAAGCACAAAGCTGAAATAATGAATAATAATAATAAAGGTTTTACAGGGTTTGATAAAGGGAGTCTTTTCACTACAGGGCTTTAATGTCAGGTAAGAAAGGATGACCACCTTTAGGGCGTCAGTTAATATTGCCAGGGCTGGATTAACCCTCCAGTGAGCCCTTAGGGACAGAAAGCGAGCCAAAGGCCTATATTAAACCCCAGTTGTAAGTTGATTAAATGCAAATTTATTTAAGAATATGCACCATGTAAGCATACTCTAGCTACTGACATATTAAAAGTATTGGATTTTTACACAAGGGTCCTTTATAAGACAGAACCTCAATATTAACGTGCACTCCTTTAATACAGCAGGGGGCTTCCAAAAGACACATTTAAAAAAAAAAAAAAAAAGTCAAAATGAATAGAAGCACAATCTGACTTCCCTAGTTACCCTGGATTTTACATTTCCCATAATGCAAGTTGACCCTGATCTGGTAATTACTGAAGCCTTTCAATTCACATGCCTTGGTCGTCTCCAAGCCCAAGTCAAGATAACCTTGATGACATCATCAGGGAGCAGCACTTCACATAATAAGCAAACTAAACTTTTTGTGTAATGTCAAAGGATTTCACTTTCACAACATGATTTACCTGAAAGCCCTTTCCAATATATTTTATCTTTATCAATTCATGAAATTGTCTCACACAGTGAACCTGGAGCTCTAGGGGGCCCTGGGGCAGTTGCCCACCTTGCCCAGCTGGCAATCCAGCCTTGCACATTAACATACGCATATTCAATTACATTACCACAAAGCAGTTAACACAAAGTAAGCCTGGAGCTTTTAGGGCCCCCGGAATCCTGGGGTCCTGGGAAAACTCAGTTGAAATCCCAGTCTTGGGTTCGTGGTTACAGTAAAGATATTAAAATTAAAGTAGCTTTTCAATTGTGAATTAAAAGATGATACTGAGCTGGGTTTAAAGGAAGTTTTACCTTGTCTGATTCAAGTGCTTTAAGGGCCGTGGGTGTAATGTACAGATTGTTAAACACCTTGAGGCAATTTTGTGGTATTGGGTTATATAAATAAACATTGCCTTGACTTGAACTGGTAATAGTGATGCTCTGAACATGGGTTTTACTTTATTCCTATGCTGTTTAATTTTGAGAAGTAAAAAAGACTATCTTCTGAATGGGCTTCTTTAGCATCTTGCTTATGTAGCAGTATGCACATGGGGGCAGTGTTTGGTCGTTAATTGGCTCTTTCATGTAGAGCAGGCCGCTGCTGATTGGTCGCCTGTGAAACATCTGTATCCATAGTTCCAGTTGCTCGTGTCTCCGGCCAGAAAGCAGCTCATGACTCAGAGCTGGAGAGTGTTAACTGACTGATTACAGCTTCATTGTCACGCTGCCTTCCGTTGTACATAACTTGATTAAAAACATTTTGATTTATACCCTACATTTTGTGTCGAGGTACACCACTGTCTTACCGTGCCAGAGATTTGTAACATATTATTTCATATTCTGTGAAGCGGCAAGGAAAAGTTATGGGGCGCCGGAGAAAGACGAATGAATGAGTGAATACATTGACCGAATGAAGATTGGCTACAAACTGCTATATAATTATGTCACACAACAAGACGATTCTTGTCGAGGAAGGCAAAGCCAAGTGTTTTTTTTTTTCTTGAGTGCTTTATTCCAAGTAGCTGTGAGGACGTGCGTGAAGCCCATCCCACTCCGTTCCCTAAATTCACTGCGCCTGCTGTAGCCCAGGAGCTGTTTGGCGCTGGATTTGCCGGCTCCGCTGCGTTCAGGCAAACGCTGTAACCTCCAGGTATGCAAATGCCCCCTTTGTAAGACATCGCGGCAGACACAAAGGAACTCGCTTCACTTTTTTTTCTCTTCCATTTTTAAGGTGACCGCCGTCATTAGCGCTCCGTCCGCCGCTGGCCACCCTGTGCGGCTGAAGGCAACGTAAAACCCGCTCTGTGTCTGGATATTCGGCTGCTTTTATTTCACCGAGAGCGACCAGCGCGGGTTTAAGTGGACTATCGATAAGTTCCTAATCAGATTGATGGCCGTTGCGTCAACGGGGGGGAAGTCGGAGCTGCCAAATTGGCCGCGAGCAAGCTGATCTCTTAATGGACCGCTGAATTGTTAAATGACACAGCGATGAATGTTATTGTTTCCCTCCCGTGATACAAGATAGCTTATCTGGAGCCGCAACAGCTGCCTGCCTGACGCTTTTATGCATAGCCTTTGCAGGGTCAAGATGCAGTTTCGGACTGTGCTGGACGTGAAAGTCGTGGACGTGGAGAAGAGGCGCAATCCGTCTAAACACTACGTGAGTTGCTTGCCTGCCTCATCTTCTATGTCACCTTATTCCCACCTTGTCCCGTGTCAGCGGTGTGTCTCGGCCTGTTCACAGTCACAGCGTGACACCTAAACGCTGCATTAAGTCCACTAAACGTAGCTTAGCTGATATGAAGGCCACTACTGAGCTAAGCTCTGTGTTATGGCCAGATTTACGTTCAGCCATATACCTGGTTATAAATAAATAATAAGCAATTCCAAACTATTAACAGCTCGCAGACAGTTCATCATCATAGGTGAGCTGTCATAACTGTAGGTTGTCAAATAACCAGCCTGGGCACCATCAGCACTGTAATCTAATAATGCAGGTTATTGTTTTTTATTATGGCTTTATTGTGATTATTATGATTTCCCGACATACTATGGTTTTTCAGACACTGATAAACCAACCTTGTCTGAAGTCAGTGCTTTGTTGCTTCCATGTGCTGTTGTAGTAAAGTGATCAAATAATTGAGAACTTAATTAAATTCTCACATAAAGATTGAGTTCATGCAATTCAAGCTAACCTGCTTCCTTTTCATTGTGTTGTAAGGTGGTAGCCAAACTTCCACAGCCAGAGCATTAGAGCATTTCATTTATTTATAAATAAAAATACAGTATATGCTTAACTTCCAGTTTTCACATGCCAACATACAATATAAATCATAGCATAAGATCCAACTAGAATTATTTATTATTATTATTAAATATTAGTGTTCTCTTATAGATATATTAATATATATTTTAATGCCTAAGGTCAAGATCACCCTGTCTGTGAAAGGGGTTGCATCCTGAAACGTGACAGAAAGTAAAAAATACCTAAATGATTTGGTGACCAGGTAATAATCTCATCACAAAGACCATTAGTTGCTGTTCTGGACCTTTTGATCATATCCCACAATCTTCATCAGAGGGTGGCTTTCTCCTGGTTGTTATAGACTTGTAGATGTTCACAATATTGTTTCGGTGCAGTTTGTAGCTGGCATAAAAGTCAAGATTCAAAGTTCATTCCTGACTTTGGAAACAGTTGACAAAATAATCTTGGCACAGGGTCCATTTTGTAGCTGTTCTGGAGCTTTGCAAAAGTGTCAAACTTTATCTGATCTCTGATCCCCTTTATCTCTTTCTTTAATATATCATCGCCTCCTAATATCCACATTTCGGATTAAAGAAACCTCACAACAGGCTCTAGTGATGATTATTACCTTCCTGATCCTTGCCCGTCTGTGGCCTTATTCATCAATACCACACTTGTTATTAATGAGAGTCTGTGTTGGGGCTCTGCACTTCATGGCCCCAGTTCAGGTCCTATTTTGAGCTCATAAACAAGTCGTAATAAATGACCGCCATGAAACGAACACGATCTTGCTCCTATGCAATTACAGTCCGGCAAACCCTTGGGGCTAATGATATGTAGACACAATTAGCACACTTCTTCTCCTTTGAAAGGAGGAATTCACAGGGCTCTCACTGTATGTGCCCCTTTACTATACTTACTTTACAAGACACTGAAAATATGTCATTCATAACAGAAATCTAATAGATTTTCTTTTCCTGAACAAAACTTAGAATTTCATGTACATCACGTCATCCAAAACACTGTACTCCGACATAGCACTGTACTGTACTATGAGTGCATATGTTTTTAACACGGGGTGGCCCCAGTGAAACTGATCCCTAAACTCTGACACTGTTGAAGCATCACTGAGCTATGGGTCCCTATTGACAAACCCAGCCCCCCTTCCTGCCACTCTGTGTGCATTTTGCCTTCAAGTGCTCATCAAGTACAGTGCACACAGCAGACTCCATATGGCAGCTTAATTATAGTTTGCCTGGAGCTCTTGAAACCAACCAGTACCCCCCGTCCTGGAGTACTATACCTGCCCGCAGGTTTGCTGTGTGCCAATTCATTTGTGTTTATGTACTTAAACACAAACTCATTTACGCCCCATGTAAGAATGATATCAACATAATAATAATATTCTTAAAACAAGATGTTGACTTGGCTTCAAGATTAGGTAGTGGTGCAAGAAATGCCCGAGGGCATTGCAGTTGATATTATGCTTTAGTGCAGCATATTCCCAAACAAATGAGTGTATTCAAATTACAACTAGACATACAGCTTGGTATGAGAGCCCCCTGATGGCTTTGCCTTGTGGAAGTTGATGATCCAGTCTTATAGATGACCTTGTATAGTAAGTGTCAAGAAGAAAACCTGTTCAGGTGCTAGCTTTTTTTTTTCAGTAGTGCTTAACTGTTTGGTTAATTAAGCCTATATTTACTCAGGAAGTGTCACTGAGACCAAGGTGCATGATATTTGAGGTCATTATTCCCCAGGTAAGAGTTGATAGGAAGAACTTTTGAAGCTCATGTCTCCTGCACCATGGTGTCGTGGGCCCTGTTCACACCTGGAATTAACATGCATCCTCAGTGAGCTGATCACAAGTGAACAACTCTAACTACGTCAGTTCGAATGTGGCATTAGGATGCATCTCCTGATCAGTGTGTGTTGAGAAAAAATTCAAAGACAGATACTGTGTCTCGAAATATGGACAAATTAGATTAAAAGTCCATGGCTAGAAACCATTTGAGGTAAGAAAGAAAATATATATATTTTTTAATAATTTGGATGCTCTGACACTGTGGATAATAACCTCCAAGCTCACTGTATGTGTCAGTGGCTCATTCCAGATAACCCCCAATGTCCCGTCTTTGCATAATAATTAATGCAACAGTTCAGTATTTTGGAAAACATGTTTATTTGCTTTCTTACAGCGCGTTAGATGAGGAGATTGATACCACTTTCATGTCTATTTGTTAAGTATGAAGATGAAAAAAAAAGCTAATCACTGCTTGCCTGTAGTTTCCTATTTAACACACAGACATGACGCTGGTATCAACTTTCTCATCTCACTCCTATGTTGTTCTTGTCATGCTGTTTTCGTCAATGTGGAGGACCACGATATGGAAATAAGCCTTTAGGTGTTTTTATCCTTGATGATAGTGACTGCTTTAATCTGTATATTTAAATAATCAAACAAGTAAATTAATTAATTCAGTCAAATGTGGTCTTGATTTAAAAAAAAAAAAAAAAGAAGTGAATAAACATGCTTCCCAGACGTCACCATATCCCTTTAAGATTTGCACATTGAGATAAATATTTGTGCTTAGCAGGCTATAATGATAAAACAAGCTATCAGGCAGGATTCTGTAGAGACTGTTAATTAATGGTCGTCTGTTGCTGATATGTATACTGATATAGGTTTTAATGCAACATAGGCTTATTGCTGCCACAGAGTAGTGTAGTAATAGGAGCTTTTCCAAATCAGTCCAGCTCTATATGGTAGACTTGTTGAGCAGTAGCCAGGCTGCTATATGTACAGTTAAAGTCTACAGAAGTGAGCTGAGCTGAGCTGCGCTATGTTTTGGACTCTTCTGTCTCAGTGGGCCAGGCTGTGGCCTAGTTTCCCTAGCTACCCCGTCTCATGAGACAAGGCGAGCCACTGTGAGAAGGAAAAAGAGGGAAAGAGGGAGGGAGAGAGGGAAGGGAGGAGAGAAAATGAGAGAAAGACACAATCTGTGGCACCCATTGTATCTCATTTGTAATGTTTGTGAAACCAGCTGGAAATGCTTACCCTGTGGGGGGGTGGGGGGGGGGTGGGGGGGTGGGGAGGGGGTGTGGGGTGAAGCTTGGGGCTTTGTCAAAGGGAAGTGCTTGTCGGACCGTAGGGAAAGCTGGACCGCTGAGTTGCAAACATGCATCATACACACACGCATTCTTCCCCCCTGTGATCGGTTTGTGTTTGCAGGAGGAGGTGATAACAGAGAAAGCAAGGTTGGGCATGGCCATGTTTACTTTAAGATTCCGTTTCCCCCTACAAGTCCCAGTCCCATAACATTTCATTTTCTAGAGACTCCTGTGCGGTGCAAAGACCCAGACTGGAGGACGGTGTTGTTATTTGGCACCATAAAACATCTCTTCAGAGAGCTGTTCCCCACTCAAATATTTATTGGCCTATCAAACACGGAGTGATATCTCGGTGAAAAGGCTCCCTGTTTTCCAGATTCTCACGCCTAACTGAGAAGACGCATGCTAGGTGGGAGCCGGGGGGGGGCAAGTGAACAAGACGAAGGTGAGACGGGGCATTCGCTGACGTCTGTTAATGAAGTCGATGTGCTTGATGCTAAGTTTGCCGAGCCCTGACTCTGACACGAGAGGCGGATGTTGCTGTTCTCACACTGCATGGGAGCTCACACACATGCTGGCGGTTGTTTTCATATGTTCACTACCAGATGTTGCTTGTGATTTTGGGATGTTTTACTTGTCTCTTGCCGAAGTCTTAAATGCAACAGCTCCGGTCCAGTAGCAAGACGTCACCTGTCTCCTCTTCTGTCCCTGTTCAGGGTAAAAGCACATGTTGCGGTGCTCAATCATGGCCTCCAGCGCCCTGGTGTTCTCCTGAACAGCCTGACTTCTGATTACATCACCCAGAAATGGTGATGCTCTGTTGGGAGACAGAGCATGTGTGGGCAACATGTGTGGCCTTGATTGTGCTGGCTTTGGTTTTGTTTTAACGGGAAAATGGCGTTCCTATCATCGCTGTACGTGTTGCTGTTCCACATAGTGTGGTCTCATGTAGGTTTTTGTGTAAGAGGAAGAAAGATTGAGAAGCAGAGGAGGAAGAGGAGAGAAATGGAAGGGGGAGAAAGAGATGGGGTTGCCTTGCTCGCAGCTCTTTTTTATGAGATTACTAGATAGTCAGGGAAATTGGCTAAAAAGTTATTAGAATCAGACTGGCTTGATTTGTGTGACAAGATATTCTTTTTCTGCCAAAGCACCCAAGCATGATTTATTATGAATATTTGATTTGGTTAATATTATATCCACCAAAATAATGAAATAGTTAATAACAAAATCATAATATAACTTGAAGTGATACTCCAGTGACGTAGTATTGCTGTTCCATAATAAAAATAGCTTCCGACATGGTA